AAACACATAGCGGAGTTGCTCTATCTTCGCCCTACTTTGCTGTAGACGTAGAGAAATTGAATCAAGTGTCCTACTAGTGTAATACTACTACAGCTCCAGAGTCTTCCTTTGCCCAAGTCCTGGGTTCTGCTGAACCACTGCCTCCCGTTGACAGTGCAAATGTAAAGAATGTACTGAAACGTCTACCTTCCGGTAAAGTTAGTGGGCCGGACATGCTATCTCCTATCTTACTCAAAGAATATGCCGACTGTTTGGCAACTCCTCTTGCGAGTATATTACACCATGTGTATGCAGCAACACAAAATAGCCGACTGCTGGAAAAGTCTCAGCATGACACCAGTGCCGAAAAAGGATCCAACAGATATCGACCTATCGTATGCACCTCCGTTGTTTTAGTTCTGGAGAAAGTCATTCTCAAAATATTGCCGTCCAGAACGCGCTCTAAGGACCCCCTCCAGTTCGCCTATAGTAGTTCGAGGTCTACCCTAGATGCTATGGTCTACTTCGTACATTCTGTACTGTCATCGCTTGACAATAGGAATAAAGCAACTCGAATGTGTTATCTTGACTACAGCAGTGCATTCGGCTGTGTAATCCACGAATTACTGCTAGAAGACCTACTTACTCAAGGAGTACATCCCTCCATTGTCTATTTACTGAACGCACTCAGATAACCCGACTCAGTGGCACTTGTTCCTCCCCACCTTACCAACGTAGGTGTCATTCAGGGAGCAATTCTGTCGCCTTTTTTCTACTTTCATCAGCTCTATACCAGCTCCAACTGAAGCGACTGGTAAAATATGCAGACGCTATCGTCCTGGGCATGAATCACCAAAGCGCTAACTGTTCATTCAGAATGCAAACGCTTCTAAACCATCTTAATAGCTGGTCCAAATCCTGCGATCTGTCTCTTAATGCTTCAAAGTGCCATGACATCCTTTTTTCCTTACGCAAAGGAGCCAGGTACGAGGAGCTCCTTACAGTGTGCAACAAATTACATTTTGATGACGACGGATTACAGTTTTCCACATCAGTAGAATATCTGGGTGTGACGTTGAGTTACGACTTATCTTGGACGCTTCAAGTAACTGAAACTTTCGCTAAAGTCAGAAGATTGTCATTTTATTCCTCTCAGCTCAGAGTCTCCTGTGTTCCTCGTGAGTTGATCGTTCGCTTTGTCAATGCCTGCGTTCTTCCGCATTGGACGTACCGTTTCCCTGTGATCTTTCCCGGTCTTTTGGGTAAGCATTTTAAGCGAATTGTCAGATCATCAAAGGACTTAGCCGAATGTAGCGGTGTTCCGATATATACTTTTACCGACATTATTATTTCTACACACAGCAGTTTTTGTAAAAAGCTGGCCTCTCGGATACTGACCGATACAAGTCATCCCCTACATACTGCCTTATCTGAATGTTTGTTGACTTCGTCTACTAGGCAAATGTACAAGCTAATCTGTGCCCGCACACTAGCTTACCGCTCGTCAGTCATCCCTTACCTCGCGTCTTTTGCGAGACCCCAACTTTGTCATCCTTGACTTAACCAGTCGACTTTCAACTTGACTGTGTTTTTTGTCCTTATCCACCCCTTCTTTGTCATATTGCTTTGCCACTGATTTGCTTTTTTGGTACCTTGTCGTGATCATATGTGTTGTAGCTGAATATTCACTCATACAAGGTGTATAAAATAATTTCTTGACTTGACCTCGTCTATACTGGCTCTAGTTGGTCGTTGCTAGAGAGGACAGGGTGCACGGTCCTCGTGGCCATGCTATTCTCGAAGACTGGTTCCATGCACTCAGTTTGGAGCGGACTACCATCCATCCACAGTCTTCTGTGCGAATGATTCCCAAGTACTGCGTGCTTGTGTTTGTCTGTGAAGGAGTGTAGGCTAGCTCCGTTGATGAAACGTGGCTCCCATCCACATGCCTCCCAGTCTTACTCTTTCCGGTTCACACTGGATATAGGGTGTGTGGATGGAGCTGTGGGTGGTGCAGCGCAAGCTGCCCATGGTCCCTCTGTAGGCGCAGGCGTCCTGTAGCTGTTCTATGGAGGCCGCAGTGACAAGCAAGTCCGGAATAGGCCTGGAGTCATTAGAAACCATGGAATCGGGAACCAAAGGTCGTGAGATGTACCACCTTTGAAAAGAGGAATAGATGCTAAGGAAATACCAAGACCATCGTTATTTTATCTTTTTCACACGCCATTCTGAACTTTTTTGTTACGTTTATGCTTCTGATATCGATAATTCACGTCACATCGCACACATTGCACTGCGCAATGGTCGCTCCCACTTATGGGGCCGTGTACCGCCTGTCGGTAAATATACAAATTTATTTATTTATAACCGATTTAGTGCCATTGTTGCGAGTACTGTAAGCCACTATCATTCTTCATCATTAAGTCCCCGAACAAGGAGGCCAGGATGGCCAGTTATGATGTCATTGACTTCATGCTTTGTCGCCTAGTGATTGTCTGTCCTCCACTTGGCCTCTTCCAAGGCGACCCTGCGAGCGCATATTGGGCGCAGCATGGTAAACGCTCGTTGGACACGCGTAAGACCTGACCAACTCATCACAATAAGCACAGCAGAACATGCTCACTGAAAGGAAGGCTCGTCTTACCCAAGACGCAGTCTGATATAATAATCACAAATTCTGTTGCAACCCTACGCGGGTAATTCTCCGAGATCAGCCTTTGTCAAAGGCAAAAAGCCAGCGCATGTTAATTACTTGGATCGGCAAGCATTCGCATCCATACAACTACCCTATAACGCGAGCGAAACGTAGCAACGACGTCACAAGTACCTCAGATTTTCAAAGGCGACCAGGCTTTCGCGATACGAAGGAATAACCCCTCTCTAATAGTTCCTTCGACACCATTGCAGATCCCTAGGTAGACGAAACTGTCCACGTGTTCGAGCTGTATGCCTTCGATGGTGAGCTGAAGAGGGAGCGATTGCCAATCCTGTAACAGCACTTCGAGGGTGCAAGGTACATACCACACCTACACGCCTCACCCACCAGTCGGTCACGGACCAATTGCATACCCAACAAAGCGATATAATCAGCGTAATTTGAGTCGCTTGCGTGATAACCTAGCTGGACCTCGCCGCCAAGACTCTGCAATCGTTCTAAGTCCCCAACAAGACATATATATATATATATATATATATATATATATATATATATATATATATGGTTGGCGGCATGCAGTTTCGGATTTGCCTGTCACTGTGGCCAGCCACAGGACGCCTGCGCCTACACAGGGACCATGGATGGCTTGCGCTGCACCACCCACAGCTCCATCCACACACCCCATATCCAGTGTAAACCCGAAGGAATAAGATCGGGAGGCATGCGGATGGGAGCCACGTTTCATCAACGGAGCCGGCCCACACTCCTTCACAGGCAAACACAAGCACGCTGTATTTGGGGAATCAAGCGCAAACAAGGCGGTGGCTGGACCGTAGTCCGCTCCACACTGACTGCATGGAACCACTCTTCGAGCCTAGCACGACCACAAGGACCGTGCACCCCGTCCCCTCCAGCAACGACCAACTGTCTCCTGGAGCCAGATAGACGAGGTAGTGGGTAATAGACAGGTAGGCACCTTGTCAACATGCACATCAAGCGCAGCCACACCTGGGATGTCAAGCAACAGCCAATCATTCGAAATGCCGATATCGAATAAAATAAACGCATATGACGACATAAGTACTGGCTAAATGAGCAAAAGGGAAGAAATTGGTTAAATGTGAATACGCGATAAGTACAAAATGTCCGAAAGTTATTTTAAAAAATACCACGCGATAAAATTACGCAAGTTTACCACAATTTGCATGAGCGACGTGTGTAAGTTGGGAGAAGATTATCAAGTACGCAGAACAAACCAAATAAAATGTAATGAAATTTATCCACATTAAAAAGACCTAGTTTATGTGTAAGTTGGTTTAGCCCACTTGAACCAACTTACACTTAAACTAGGTCTTTTTAATGTGGATAAATTTCATTACATTTTATTTGTTTTTTTTCTACGTACTTGTTAATCTCCTCCCAACTTACGCACGTCACTCATGCAGATTGTGGTAAACTTGCGTAATTTCATATATATATATATATATATATATATATATATATATATAGCAGCGTTCGGACGGTGCTTTATTCGTTGGACGTGTCACAGTACAAGTGGCTTCTGCACATCGGCAGTAGCCATCAGCGGCGCATTTTCTACTGCGCACTTCGATTTCATGTCATTGCCTATCGTCATTTCCCTCGTCGTAATCATCAACTTTATGATTACCCCACAACTTTCCGTCATCCCCCAAGAATTTTTGGCACCGCCTTGTTACGCCTAGTCTTGAATGACACCTTCATGACTTTCTCGTGTTTTATTTCCCCCTTTTATCTTACTGGCTAACCCGCATCATCTTCTTTCTCTTTGATGCCTACTTGCTCCCCTAACTGGTCTTTGCTTGTCAGAAATACTTCCCATACTCCTTTTTCTACAGTTTCTTCCACTTTTCCTCTATGTTGGTTTTTCGCCCCATTATCCCTGGTCAACAGTTAGACTATTTTGCCACCGTATGTCGCCACACGCTTAACCGCAGCTGTTTCCCAACGGTATTTATCCTGCTATCATTGGATGCGCATTCTTCGGTCTTATTTCTTCCTGGCTTGTGACTTTCGTACTTCACCTCGCTCTGCATCTGATACTGTAGACCGTGGGAAAAATTAACTTTCTTAATCACCGCCACTTATTGATCGGATTCCGTTTTTGTTCGTACTTCCGTTTCTTATTAGTCTGGTCTGTGAACAAGTTCATCGTTTTCACCTCCCATTACACATGTGCAGCTTGTTTTATGACGTTCTCACTGTAGGTTGTTTCTCTTCGTTAGGGTCGTCAGCTTTTCTTGTCAAATAATATGTCATTCTGTGGTCAATTGCATCCAGTTACTTTACCCTCTATCTTTCTTCTTTTCTTATATTCGGCCTTCAGATGTGCAAGCTGTCCCACACCGAACTGCGCCGACTGGCTGCCAGCTCACTTGTAACCTTAGTAAAGCAAGCGGTTGCTGCCCCACAAACACCCGAATTCTGGAAAAATGAGGTATCCTGTTTTGTCCTCCTTGGTACCCTTATCCGTGTGCACTCCACCCCGCAGTAATCCTCTCATTTTTACGGGCGCTTGAATGTTGCTCTGTGGACGATCACCAGCTTGCGGCTGTCCTATATCCCCTTTGGGCCGATTTCCCGTGGGGACTGGACGAAGCTGTGCATTTGTTGCATCATTCCGTACCCATCTGTCTTTAATAGGAAAACTGTTTCATTGTAGATATACTGATATTGGTTGTTGCAGGATCATTGATTTGTTTAATTGCTGTACCTAGTGCCCTGGTGCGAAGGCATCTAGCCCACTGTTCCGTCACATTATAATGCTATGTGAAAAATAAAATATGAGCGGCTATGTCGATTGGAGTGTTTGTAGGAATTGATTAATCCACTGCTGCGGTACTGTTTACGACGTGACACTGTGAGGGCGATCAACGGGTGAATAGATCAAATGGCAGTGTAAAAGAGCTCACGTGTTATTGATGTCAAGTATCAACCACGTTAGAACACTCCGCTCATCGGCGCACTTGCCCGCAATCTATCGAGCCGCAATTTTAAACCGTCGTCAGACTACCCATCCCAGTTTTGTAGATGACTGCGTCCGTCCCCCCACTTGTTGACAGTCGATTTGTGACGGTTCCATTACGGGGTCAACATTTCCACATATACCACCTGTTCACTAAACATAACTACCCGTTCTCCTGGTGTATACATACGGGACATGGGATTCACTTGGTGGAGTTTCATTCACAACTTGATTGGTGCAAGTGATTATATGCATTTTGGATCATTCATTCTACGTAGATTTTTGCCTTGCAAGCTGGATGCTAGGGTGCTGTTGTCGTTTAAACTCCGTTCTGATAGGCATATGGCGGGCGGACCACTGACCTTGCACCTTAAGATCCCCCACATTACCGTGTCCAGCCGAACCCCCGGCCAAGTGACACTTTGCAAAATTTACACCGGTGCTTTTGACTACGGGTTTTAATTTGTTTGTTTCAATACACTGAATCCTGTTTATTCCCCTGCCACTTGGGTGTATATTGCTGTACTGAAAAATTTTCGCGCTCCCTGTTTGTCCACCTCAGTTATGCTTAATCTGTTGACACAGAATGGGCAGGAGCTTTCGCACTTTTTGACTAATTAACTTATTCTTATTTTCATTTGTCCTAAGTCTTCCGCATAAAAAGACCGTACTGTGTCAAGCTTCCCGGAACGATGCTCATCCGTTACTGTTAGCTCAGCTGGCATGTAACTGTTGCACTTTTTTTCCTTTATGTATTGCGGCACAGTAGCTGACGTGTATATTGATGAGGACTGTGTCAAGCCTATATTCCCATTGAACTTGAACTGTTTAAAGCATTCGAATGTTCTAACAAAGTTTATCCCTTCTGGTCAAAGTTACTGCGTACTCAGAAGAACGCCGGAGTGACGTGTGGTCGCTTCGCGGCTTGTGACCATTTTCCTCGGTTCTTCGGTGGCCGACTGTCTTGCCGTTAAGCGCCAGACAGAGGCTAAAATTTCTCGACTACGGGATAGGCGCGATGGAAGTGACGTGGTGGCTAGCCATGAGTTAACGTGAGCCACTTTGCATGACCATTACTGATAACTTCTAATTTTCGAAGTACAATCTGGTTGCGATTGCTTATCACAATGCATTCACACAAGAGCTCGAATGTGACCCTTCCAAATGCAAATTAATTTGTGTACACCCCTACCTGGAAGATGGAACTGGTCAGCAACACCAAGTTCGGTATTCACAGACCTCATTTTTTGCTGCTAAATTAGCGGTTAATTCTTCCGAGTTTTAGCCACCTATGAGCCCCTAAACCAAATACAGGACAAATATCCGAAATTGACTACCTGACCACTTTACTAAGTTGAGCGTTTTCTTCTCATTTTTGGTACGTCCACCCTGTACACCCTATGGAACCAGATCTCTGTATACAGTATAACCTCGGTAAGTTGACCACTCAAGGGACTAGACTAAAGTGGGCAATATAGAGGTGTTCAACCTAAGGTGCTCTGGTTCCATAAGGTGAACGTTCAAATAATGGGAAAAACGGTCGATTTAGAGGGCTAGTCAGGATACAGAGATGGTCAACTTCACGGAAATTTTACTGAATGTGCCTCCCCGGTAAGCGACAGATATACATGTGTTGCACATGCTACAACTAACCGATTTTATCCTGTCATCTGTGGATTTAAACTAGCGACTAACTCATTACCGCGAACTAGCCACAAGAAGGATTCTTCGTTGCACACGCTGGGACTGCAAACTGCGTGCATTTTCCCTATTTACCACTGATCCAATGCTTAAAGGCGTCTCAAATCTTCGATCTGGTGAAACTGTGTCACTGCCGTAGAAAAGCACGGGTTGCGTAATATTTTCTTGGCATTTCAGACTGGCACGATTTCCTTTTTGTCTCCAGGGAGTCATAAATTTATGAATACATTTCCAGTTGTCTCTATTAGTGATACAACTTCAGCAGTTCCGCCCGTTGCCTCTCACGCTGCCTCTGATGTGGGGGAATTCGTTAACTATCTGTTCTTCCTCATCAAATGTTAAAGAATAGATAGGCTAATGGTAGCCGTCCAGCCACACTTCTTAACTTGAAGATGCACATCGTATACCTAACATTAACACATTGACGAGCAATTTTCTCAAACGAAACAGAGCGATCGACTGAGCTAAATACGTCCTTGACTTCGAGACCGTGCACAGCTGTCATCGGTCTGCTGTGTGCCTACGACGTTACTGTGTGTCTGCGACGTTGCTGCAGCACCCGGGTGGGGTAGAAGTTTTTATACTGCTCTGTCCAGACGGAAAACTTGTCTGTTTTTCATCTTTCATCTCCGTTCAGCATTAAGACAGCAGAGCAAGATAAAGGCCGATCACTTTGTTGATACCGGCATCAAGATGAAGTGGTAGTGGTTAGCACATACGCGGTTATTAATATTTGCTAATGTGACAACTGCGGAGCTCTATACTGCTCAACTGTCTCTTCGAACTAACGGCTCACTCTTTGCAGATTACTTCATCACCACCCTTACATGACACAGGCACGATAGCATCTGGACAAGCGACACACCACTGGTTGTTGGTTGTGGCTGCGTTTTTAATCTCACCTCCATATGGCGCCTTTATGACTACGGGACGTGGTTCAGTATGATAGTGACAACACTACATAAATTGCATATTTCACTACGACAAATTGTCCGATAAACCTGTATGTCAGGATCGCCGAAAACAGATGACTGCTTGAAGTATCCATAAGCATTGCGTTTGAGAAAACGATTTCCAGCCTCATCCATCATTTGCATGTATTCAGAAAATTTAGAATTTGTTATTGCGAGGCACTAATACTTGCCAGATGTTCCTTAGCTATTACCTCCGAGTAATAGGGGGAAACGTCTAACTGCTGGGCGGATGTGAAAATAGAGTGCCGTAAGGACACTTTTTGTCTTGGTCCGCCTTAGATGGGCGGATATGTACGGACAGTTCTTGTTACCATACCAATAAATTACTTCTGCTGCTCGTCTTTACTTCTAAACATCAGCAACTAGCTATTAGATCGGATTTATAGTGGCAGGTAAGTTTTAATCGGGTAATTCGCATTAGAGGCTAAGAGTAGAGTGTGAAGGTATTTGAGACTATACAACTCTAATGATTCTGGTTGCGCTGCTTACTGTCTGTTTATCCAAACTACTTTCGCGATGGGCACTTGTTCTGCCGCATGTAAACATGTGGTTTCGAGATCATGAGGTGGCTCGTCCGCTTCCGGTGTTCTCAATACTTCGATCGACTTCAATACGGCCAACTACGAGCGCATAATTGTCCGGAATTCGATTTTGCGTATCTCGTTAGGATGTCCGTTCTGCAATTCGCTGCAGCGACATAGAACAGTCTTCCAAACATTTTGTTCTGGAATGTCCCACTAGTAGTGAATTTCTATAATTTTTGGCAATGTACTTCCTTCTAGTCGCATACCTAGATAAGCGGAACGCCGACAAGCCGTTTTGTGGACGACTGCCTTACTTGTTCTAATGAGATTTGATCACTCCTTCTGGCATTTCAGTATGTTATTGAGTTTTACTCCAACAAAAGGCGTGCAATCATATTGTTACTGATGCTTATTTGGCCTTTCAATGTAGAGGATTTAAAGAAGAACCCCATACTCATTTAGGCTTTGCTACGACATGTTCGGCGTGATCTACGAAGCCTATGGAGTTCGTATAGTAATGTCCCAAATCACCAATGACATAGCATTGTGATAATAGTTAACCATTAATGATTAACCATCCAGGACGAAATTTGCGCCTGTAGTATGTTACGCACTTATTAGCAGCGAATGCCATTTTCCATTTGTAACACCACGACCCGAGGGCACTCAGGTCACGTTGTATGTCACGGGTCATGTCACTAGTTTGTATAGATTCAACTGGATTTCGAGTACCTGCCGTGTGGTTGGCTTACGTCACACAATCTCTATTGAAACGTCGGTTCACTGTGAAGTAGACTTCGATTATTCCGATCACAATGACCGTAACCAAAATCTTGATTTCATGGGCAAAATTAAATTACTTACCAGATATCGTTAATGTATAGCAAGAAAAGTGGAGGCTACTAGCATTACTCTGTATCACACAACGTGAGACTGGTTTTAGCTTCTTGCAATAATGTTGAATTTTACCACATGAGTTCGATGGGTGAGATACGAATGAAACCACGACATTAAGGGCTCACTAATTCCAAATGTTTCTAAGTTGCAAATAAGTTGATCGTTTGGCATTCTATCAAATGCTATTTGCGTATGAAGACCTAGAATAATCGCCGGAAGCCTGCGGTCGAGGGAATTAATTAAATGATTCCGAAAGTCCAGTTGTTATTTTATTCAAGTACCAGAGGTTAAGAAGACATATTGTGAGCTGCTTATGAGATTACGTGCCATTCTGAAGTTTGTAGTTTTACGTCTCATGTATTTCTCCATCATGTTAGAGAAGTATGGAGCATGGCTAATCGGACGGACGAAATAAGATGTAGCATCTCACGGTGATCGAGGTCTACTGTACATAGTTAATCGTCGGTAGGGAGGAGAGGCGGTTGTCCTAAGGAGTTCATTAGCGTTGTTGAAGGCGACGCCAAAATAACGGTTGAAGGCTCCACTAGTCTAATATGAATCCCTTATCAAGCGATTGGTTGTTGCAATGACAGTTATTACGCAGCTTTTGTTTCTTCTTCTTCTTTTCATCAGTTTGACCAGATCCCGACACCCATTGTGGCTATTGAGCGCTTACTTTGCTTCGGTTTTTCGCCTATTGTGATGAATTAACTCAAGTCTGTCAGTAATGTTTTGCTGCCAGGGTACAAAGGAAAATCCTCTATTTTCGAGCACAGGTTAAGACGTGGAGTCAATTTGTGAGTAAAGCTGGAAGGAAGAAATTTTGGAGTTAGTTTTTCGGGATTGCTTAGGTGTGCCTTAGAGGAACGAGAGTATTCAGGCAGTACCCAAAATTATTGTAAAATTTAACAGCAACCACTTTTAGGTCTGTTATACAAGAAAGTTGTATCATAGTATAAATCTTGGATGGACAGCAAATGAATCATAATTTAGGGTTTTAAGAAACTGAAGTGAAATTTCAGGTCGCATGGTAGCAATTTGGGCACATTGCCGGATAAACTAGAGTATGATGATTTTGTGATCACTGCCTTGGAAGTTATCGATGGCTGTAGTGAATGCCAAAGGGGCCCCTATTTAGGATTAGACTCAGCATGTGATTGTTGCTCGTAGAAGAAAGTAGAAAATATCGAAATTTTTTGTGTCTGCATAGCAGACATGGTAAAGTTCCCTCCGACTCTTTTGATGTTCTTGGGCTTTTCCGGTGGCATATGATGTCTCTAGCAATCTATTTATCTCAGCCGCGCCGGGGCTTGTGGAGGGCTAGTCAAAGGTATAGTACTTAAGTGTTGCCTATGAAAACATTTGCATGAAGGGAATCGAGATTTCCCTCTGTAATTATGCTTGGAAGTCTTCGTGGACATAGCTGATAATACATCCTCGTGCTCAGCACTTATACACTCGAAAAACTGTTGCACTTGTCGACGTGCAAGCTCATTCTTGGATTGTCATCAGTCAGCCACGTTCCTGTTAGTAAGACAGAATCGTGTGCGAAAAACACTTTCAATAAGTGAAAAATATGCATCTTGTTTCTTAGCGAACGTTCATTTATTGCTCAGTGTTAGTGAAGCAGATTCGTCAGAAAAAGTCTGGTTAGTGATGAATAGACTTGAATTCCTTTGGGCAGTCTTATGGCTTTAATCAGGTGTGGGGCTGTATACTGGCAACGATACAAGTATTACCTACACTATCACTGTGAGCGACATTATCCGGAACTTTAAAAGCATGTATATTGCGGACAATGTCGTGGAGTCTATGGTACTTTGACTGATCAATGCTCCTAGTGTCAGCAATGTAGCCATTTCTTCTGACTGTCCCGTTTTTGGAGGTGTGCAATGTGGGGGGGGGGGGGCGAACTTCAACTATGTGGGCATCTGTCGCACTCGGATCTGATTAACTTCAAAAATCCAGTGTGATGTATGAAATTAAGATTAATTAATAAAAATGGAACCTTCAGCTATCACCGGTTTTCCGCTTGTCCACTCCACCGCATGGTGGTTTTTTTGAAGCTGCACGACAACCAATGCAGAGTATGGTTGTATATAAATTGGCGTACTACAATTATACTTGGATGTAGGCAGGTCAGCTATTACGATCTGCAACCGCAAACCAGTGAGAACTTATTAACCGTTTACAAGGTTGGTTGCTCTCGTTGGAACGTGTGTCACCCCAAGTCTCACTCTACAGTTGCGTGATTACTTCACAAATCGCACCCACTTCACGCAGCTGTGCGGCATAAAGTCTTCTGTACTCGCAGCCAACGGGGGTGTTTTGCAAGGATCCATCCTGTTCACCTTTCTATTCACTACCTACGTTGAAAGACCCTCCCTATTCTATCAAATTTCATACGATTTGAAATGCCGATGACATCGTCATTGGAGGTGTACCTCCAACCATGGAAGACTCCTGGAAACTCCAACTAGTGTTAGACGAACTAGTGCATTGGTCCAGCTCCCGGTCCCTTTCTCTCTCTCAACCCTTCCAAATGTTGTGACGTAACATTCTGTTTTCTACATCCCAACAGACTACAGTCCCTTGTACATATCTCCCCTCCAATGATTGTGGATGACCAAGCATATCTCGCACATTTGGCCTTAAATATCTAGGAGCTTTTCTATCTCAAAATTTCTCTTGGTCTACGCATGTTCTTGAAACATTTAAAGAAGTTAGAAAGCTCACTTTTTACTCCCTCAGACTTAAAATGCTTTCCGTTCTTCGTGCTTTAATTCTGCGGTTTGTGACTACATGTATTCTCCCTCACTGGTCATACTGTTCCCCAGTTATTTTCACAGGACTCCTTCAGAAAGATAATATCCTTTTTGTCCGTTCGCTAAAATTTATTTCTCTTTGCTACTTTTTAGGGAAGAAACGCTCATAGATTTCATTGTTGACAAACTTTCGATGCATGCAACAACTTTCCATCCAAGATTTTCAATCATTCCTCACATCCTGTACACGATATTCTAGCCAGCACTATATCTGCTTCGTCCACACGGACGAAATTTAAGTTTTTTTCGATTCTCGTACTTCTTCTCATCGAAACTCTCTCCTGCCTTTTCTATCACGCCTATGAATTGACCCAACGGGAGTGAAACGTCCCTTTCGTGAAAGTATGCTTGACGAAAGATGCAAATTTTCCTTTACTGCCATTAATTGTTATTTCTCAATGATGCTTTGTTGTGTATCAATCCGCAGCGTTGGTGTGAAAATGCACCCATACGGGTGGATACAGTTTAGTTTGACTTGTGTGGATACCACGGTATTGCTCGCTAACTCGGGACATTACTGTTCTGTGTCAGGCATATAGCGGGTCCAGGACGAAGCTTTTGTCAATGCCCATGCTCAGAATGAGACGGAGCCGTGTCACAGTATTATCTGTGAACGATGAAACGCGAACAATTTAACCGATCCAATGATGGAACGCGCACATGCATGTCAATGAGCTTAGGGCCAGCTCCAGATTATTCGGCGCTACTACCTCCCGAAGAGTAGCTGAATACGTTGGTTAGGGTGGGGGGCAGCGCATTTGGATGAAGTCAAAAGACTTTCCAACCAACGCAGGAGCAGTTAGTTCAATGACTGGATCAAGTTCCTCCAGCAGCGGCTAGTTTGCCGTAAGAAATTATTAGCAGTTACAGAGATCATACCGATCTTCCGAAGAATACTAGTTCGTTGGGTTTCGTAACCGTGGCCATTTTATCTCTGACTCAAGTGATCGCAGCGCCGCACCCCCAGATAAATTTTGGACAACGTACTGCAGCAGACATGTACAAAATTGAGATGTGCTTACCTAACAATGTGACAACATGCTTTTAGTCAAGTCATATAGCAACTAACCCTGCATTGAAGTTTGCGCACATTGCTCTTAAGATTTGTCATGATAGATGGATGGAATAGGCGCATATCTCATGCTGAACTCCACAGAGTGAGATTTTAACCAGAAAACTACCAATACTAATTTATCCGTGACTCCTCTATGTTGTCTCTGTTGTTTCCACTTTAGCAATAATAGTAGTATATTTTCTATCATCCGAGAAATTGTGTATATAACGACACAGATCAATATGTAAAAAAGTACTCATGCCCTTGCATAGGTGATATGCACATGTGCAATATTAGGGCATGTGATTCATGCATTTGACAAATTAGTTGTCTACTTAAATCCTTTAATCAGTTCTACATATCTTGCTTCCTCCTAGTGTTTATCATTTGTTCTGACTTATTTTATTGCTATAGGTCAGTACATAAGCCGCATTGTCCATGCTTCAAATCCGCGAAGTGGATATGCGTTCAGATGACTCGTCGTTAAACGGATGGTAGAGCTATGTGGGAACATGTGGTGCCACCTTGTACATCTACTCCTACGGTCCACAAGCGGTTGTTTTCTTAGCCCTATTTTGAGGTCTCGCTACATTCAGGCCTTAGCGAAAATCGTAAAATGCCTATTTGATAAACCTCGGAAAAGAACGGAATAGCCGTGCTTCCAGTCTGTTGACGAGTTGCAACACAAAACGCTGAACAACGCAGTTGAGTGTGAGATGCCAAACCGGAACAGGAGTCTCCTTCCTCCTCTTCGTGGTGTCGCCATTTGCGTGTATTGAACCAGAAAACTTGTGGCTTGCTGTTTCTTCTAGATATTTTGAACCCAGACGATGTGGATTTTTATGCCTCACCTAGGCATTTATGAAAGCATCTCCCTGACCTTGATAGAGCGTAACAGCGGAGTATGGGATTCAGCTCTACTTGAAACTCTAGAGAAATTTCACGCAAATGTGCATTATTACCAAACTTTGACACATAAAGGAGCTAATCTAGAGTAAACAAGCGATTCCACAGAAAAAGTGTAGTTGTGTGTGTTGACTGTGCGAGGTCCGTTCCCTGGTTTTCTGTCCAAATGTAGAGTATCTTAGGCAATCTACAGCTTAAGCCCTGAAAATACCTTGCACCAAGCCTTGTTCTTTCTTGTGACTAGCTGTTCTGCTTACTTGTGTGAACTCCATTTAGCACTAACTGTTCTGATTTGTTTTCCAGATTACCATTTTAGTTTTTCCTCTAAATCCGGAGCTGCAATTCCAGTTGTCTACCATATGAGTATGCTCTCCAGCTCAGTTTTCTTTCTTGAAACACCTATGTTTGTGTCCTGTTTTTTTTCTTTTCCACTCCATATCCTCCTACAGGTTATCACCTCCACCGTTTTGGATCCGCTTTCTTCTCTCTCCGAAGCACCGTTCGATGATGTGCGGGAGATGCAGCTGGGGTGCGTACAGCATATGCTCCATTGCTACGGGGACCAAATCGGATCAAGTTGGCTCCGGTTGATTGAAATTATTGGTGTGATTCGCGACTCCTTCAGGTTGGTTGCACTGTGTGTTACGTACGTTTCAACTGCAAACCGAATGTTTTGCTTTTCTCCTATGTACAAGGGTTCTTGATCACTCCTTTCACCTCTTCCACATTCTCTCGCAGAGTCGACCAAATTCACACGGCATTTCAATGCTTCAAGCTCATCGTAACGGACTACTTGTCATCCCTCCTCCCTGACTGCTACACTGCATGTGTGACTACAGCGGCACGATTCGGCCATCAGCAACAGGACTTGAACATCGCTTTGTCCGCGATCGGCACCATTGTAAGTGGTCGAATTGTCTCCATTCACTTTTTCATGCAGCGGGCAGATCCGCCGTTCTTCATTCTTTTACAAACATAAATAAGGGAACGGCTTATAAACTCCGGATCCCATCGGTACATTAGATGCCCAAAACTTTTTATGTCTAGGAGGTTAAGTGCGACGAAGTTGAACGTGCAAATCGGTTTGTGCCTTGGATTTGAGAACAACCGTCTCTCCGGTGCAGTGGACGCTGACCGACTTGCTAGCTAGGTGCAATGCTCAGTTCAGCTATCATTCGCACACGTGATCCATGTGTCTCTTCACACACTTTCTATCATGGATCTAGTGGTCGTCGCTATGCCCCATGCCTCTCCCTCATCTTGTGGCGTAGGATATCTTTTTTGGAATTTCTTCAGATCGTATTCGGTCGATTTGTGCTCCAGTCTGTTTTACCTTGTCCCTCTTTCACAAGACTACTCAATTTCGAAGATGGTTAGTTACATTTTCGCCGATCCTATTACACTCCAGCTGTTGAACCTCTGGTGCTGTCCTCTCATCACCACAATAGGCTACGGACTACTTGCTTGACTAGACTGCAGATAATTAATCACTTACTACTTGATCATGTCTACTCGTGTAAACTATCTGACCGCATGAGACACCGCCGGATGAACTCTACCGTTTTTTTCATAACATCAGCTGCGCTTATTTTGCCTGTCGTCTACAGGTATTCGGCAACGCCACTTATTTGTGTTTTTATCATCTGTTAGTTTTTTATCTTTTCCCAAAATTGCATATGCCTTTATTTTCCAATGACATTGGGACATTAATTTGTCAATTGGTTCTGGACTGGTTGCCCATGAACCTGTGACTTGATCAGGTACGGCTCTTGTCTGAGAGAGTCGTTCCTTTGTACTCTAGGGACTACTGCGTTTATCTGTATGTTCCGGTTCCGTAATCGCTTGAGAATCACACATACCCCGATGATAATCCACTCCACGATCGGCTTTCCTATCAGTCTACTCGGATTCTCCTTACCCCAAAATTCGCACATTTATCAATTTCCTATCCAATCAACGGAGCATTGAACCGACACGCTCTTCAAATACAGTATTGGCCAAATTATTAGAATTTTTTTCAATTAGCAGATTTTTTCATATTTCATCACATATCTCGTAAGAATCAAAGGATATAACTGTAAAATGCTTTATTTACCAAGAATAACATATATCGAATAGCAAATTATCAATGTTAGTATTTCGTAAGTGATCCTTTGACTATTTTCAATGAGTTAACACGCAAAGGTGTGGAGTGAATGAGTTTTTTGCAAAGTTCAGTCATGCTTTCACTGCGAGCCCAGGTCGCTACTATTTGTTCAGTGAGCAGTTGCTTGTTTGTAATAATTTTTTCTTCATCCCTTACTTTAGAATTGCCCATAAATTCTCTATTGGGTTCACCTCAGGGCTATTACCAGGCCATGGTAACACCTCTATACCACAACCCTTAAAAAAACTGGTGACTTCACGCCTCTTGTGACATGGAGCACTGTCATGCATGCAAATGAAGTCTCCTGTCCCTGTAAATCCTTTTCTCTTTGACCATTCACACAGCTGAGGGATCAGTTGGTGCTCCAGTAGTTCTTTCTACTGCTGCTGGTTCATGTTACCCTGGACGATGGAGAGCCGACCAGTTCCATAGATGCTCATAGAGCTCCATATCATGACCTGAGTGGGATGTTTGATTCGTTTAATCATGCAGTCTTCCCTCATCTGTTCGCCAGGTAATCGGCGGACATATAGAGATTGCTGCTCAGAGCACCGGATAATGCACTCATCGCTGAAAACCACCTAAAATGAAACACAGTAAAACGCAGGAAACACAGCAAAAGTGATGTAGGCATAATTTTCCTGGAAAATCCTTATGAAAATAAAACTTCCGCTTCTTACCCGCTCCCAGTCTACTTTGGGTCACTTTTGAATCTGTTTGGCCCATTCCTGTCGGTTTTCGTTCGTTTGTTTGGTCAACTTTTGCTTCTTCAGAGGCCTGCAAGCTCGAAGTTCAGAATCCAAAAAGTCGTCTTCTTACAGTTCTCGAACTAACTGCAACACCATGCTGTTCCAGCATCCCTTGTAGCTGTCTGCTAGATGCTTTGCCATTCTTTAGACATTCCCTTAGTAGAAGTGAGTCGTCTCGAGCTGTTGTTTCTCTTCTGCGACCACATTTACCGGAACGTTCAGGGGACAGGGGTAAATTCTTTTGCAATTTCTTTCCAAGTCAACATACAGACGCTGGGCTGACACGAATGTTGGTTGCAATTTCTGCTCCTTTAACATCTTCCAGAAAAATTGCAATTTGTGCCTGCTTTCGAGGGGTTAGGTCACGCAATTTACCCATACTATGCCAACACCATCTAAAAACTGTCGATCAACAACACAATACGATTGTGTCGTTACTTGAGAAGACATCTTGAAAAATAACAATAAAAGTAATTAAAAATAGCTATAAATTGATCCAAAACCAGATAAATGTAATCCTGAAATGTAGCCTACAGCTGTAAATAACGAAGTATGATAAAAATATAACCGTCCGTTTACATAAATACTGTACACGTCACATCAACCAAGTTGTCATCACTTACAAAAAATCCCACATGCTATGCATTTGCGTGTTAACTTGAAAATTGCCAAAGTATCATTTACGAAATGCAAACCTTGATGATTTTCTATTCGATATATCTTATTCTTGGTAAATATAACCATTTTACAGTTACATCATTTGATTCTTACGAGATGTGTGATGAAAGATGAACAAAGTTGCTGATTGGAAAAAGCTTCCCATAATTTGGCCAGTACTTTAGATGTGTGACCAGGGGCATCGGCTTATGTGCTTTTTCCACCACAACCGCACTTACCTATACTTATTTGACCCCGCACGTCATTAGTCATGAGACGGTGAATTACGTTTTTTAACTCAAAACTGTAGTTTATCTGAGTGTTCTAGCTCATGTCCCCACGATAGCGGAAATCGCATTGACACGACAGAGCAAAGAGGCAAGCGCACATCGATAAAGATACAATGATAACACAACTGCTTTGCTTAAAGTTCCATCATTAACGACTTTTTTGGTAGCTGCGTTATGTGAGCTAGGATGTTGACTTTTCATAGTGACTGACCACTTGCCCCTTCGAAAACGGCAGTCTGCTCTGCTATGAAGGTCTTACGTTCATATTGTAATTTTTTCTATGTATACATATCATCAATTTAAGTGGTCCACATTTGAAACTAACCCAATCAACGTGGACGTTACGGTGTGCCGAACAGTATAGCACAGGTCCGGTTCTGTTACCTAGCAACAATTAGCGGCCTATGACAGTTATCCCTCCACGCCAGCAGTCATTGACGAGCCGTCCGTCCATAGTTCTGGCGCACAATCGCAACGCCTTACAATAGTATTAGCCGCACTACAGCTCTTGCACACAGCGCTTTGGCCAACCCTGTGTCGTTTCTGAGACGCTCGTAACTTCTCGATAACTTAACAACTCGGGACAATACGACCAGTGAACTAAATGGACCAACCCACTGCTTCAATGGGTTATCTACTGATTGTTTATACTTGCGAGTTTACCAGGTCATATCGTTGTGCACTCTAATTCACTGGTACGAGCGCTTGTTCTTGACAGCGTTCCGCTCAAGTTCCTCATCGCCGCTTGTATGGGTGCTGGATCCGGTCCCTAGTGATCACTGCCGTGTGAAGTCCCCATCTGCGTAACAACTACTCGGTACAGCCCCCATGCTAGACGAGTCAGCCGCAATGAGGTTATTTGTATTTCGAACCCCGTTTGGATGGAAAAGATGCAACCTAGTCGCCGCGTAGTTTCTCACATATGCTGGTGCACCGCAGTGTTCTTTCTCATGCTCCCGACCCCATACATCGAGCTAGAGGAGAGCTTCAACAGCATACTTTTTGTCCATGAGCTGTACCACAAACTGTTCTCCAGTTTGACAATGATTGCTTTTCATGAAGGATGGTGAACAACCAAACGGGGGTGACCTTAATCTGTCATATTTGGCGCAGCATCAACTTTCGATATAATTTTCATTGTGGCGGAAACAGTATGTTTTTCATTCACCTTATCGCATCTCGTCCTGGCACACGTTACCCATGTGTAGTTGAGGAGCAAGGGCGTGCTATTTGATGCTTTTCGCTTTGCGATGTTTGACGCTTTCGTACATGAGGACGATTATTACCAGCCACCGATTTGGATGAATTTCCTCCGTGCACCACTTTATAGTGCGGTAGAGGGCAGTTAAGCTGCTCACAAAGGAGCCACCTTGTTTTGTCTTAGCGACAGTCAGTGCCAGATCACATCGATGGTATGGGCTGCAACTTTATCTTCTAGAGCGGATTCGACCAACCCTATGCATGAAAACAAAATGCTCACCCCAGCTTCCAGTTGGATGAATATGTTACTAAACCAGCGGCTGTTTCATTCGTTAATTCTTCTTAGAATATGTATTTTCCTTTGGCCGAGCAACACTTCGGTCCCAAATACTGCTTACCAACTATCATTGAGGAGTGAACTGTTTTTCATCACCGGTCATAGCAACTGACGGAAAGCAACCCTATCCACTGTTCAAGGTCATTTTGCTGGTGAGCAGGCAACTTCGCATACTGCTTCCCTGACATACCGTAGTACCAGTTGCTGCCCTGTCTCCTTGACTCTGATTCTGTGTTCGAGCGATGACCCAGCAGTCTACCTCGCCGAGGCTGTACAGCGAAGCAACGGCGAATCATCGCCCCTATTTGTTGTCTATCAACTGTGGCGTTCTTATCTGCTCGAACGCAATCCACACATTATCCACCGTAATCAAGTGGAGCTGTCGAGCAGTTTGTTTGCTGTACATGTCCAAATCAATAAATAAGCGGGCGTAGCTCATAGCCTTTTCCATCCATTCTGGTGACCGTTTCTTGCACTTACTATACACCTGGTTATCACTCAGGGGCGTCTCTATGACTATTTGAGTTCCTCGTCCTGTTTCTGATCACAAACTAAATGGATACGGTGGGATTATAACGGTTGATGGGCCGGAGGGTTGGGCATATGCCTTGTAACCGGAAGGTCACCAGTTCAAATCTGCATAAGTGCCGGGGACCTCACAGCATCTTTAATCCGCGTTCGACTAATGGTTGTCAGGTGTCAGCAAAATGTCGGTACGGCCTACCGGCCTAGTGCTGATGCCATTCATTATCGTTTTACATGTTTTCTGCCTCCCTGGAGATTCTCTACCGTGTGAGCACCCCGGTTGCTAAAAAAGTCTGACGAAGCAAGTTTGTGCGCATGAATACTTGCATGGAGCACTTTGTAGTGCTGGTACTCCGGACATTTTTTCATTTATTAATGAATTCAGTTACTTTCTTCCTTTCTGCTAGATTTCCTCTTGTTATTCGGGCTCACTGAAGCGAATGATGGCTGAGTACACGATCGATTGGAAGAGCGACCGGTTAATTTTGTGCTTTTTTCCTGCGAAGATCGGATATTGGTGGCTTTCAAGGTTGTATGCTGCTTACTGAGAACAGCTATGCTTCGCTTTTGTTAAGCTCATAGGTAGACCCATGTTTACTCCCCTATGACGAATACACCCATCAGATACACACGTTCCGTGCTGTGCTTAACCTTGATCCGTTCAATACACAGTCAATAAGCCTTATGAATTTGCCAGCTACTTTTCTCCTATCTTCGTTTTCCTCTGCGCCTTCACTCTCGAGTGTGGTATTCTTTTTCCAGTGAATCGTACTTTCTTCTTTCAGCTGCATCTTGCTGATTATCTGTTAGAAAAAGAAAACTGCCATGTTTCGACCGATCCTTCTACTGTCGTAACCATACACGAGTTGTGGATCGGCATATTTTCGCAACTCTCAGGACTCTGTTTGGACCCTCGTCCTGCCGTTCGGAAGTCAGCTTGTCAAACACTGTTCAACATGATCGAATGCCACGGTGCACGCCGATTCACCGCCTCTACCTGGACCACCATGTTTTGGAAGGTAAGATCATTCAGATGAGCATTATGTTCGCCATGTACTTTCCGTTGTTAGGGTACGTTTCCGATTACCTTCAACTTCAGCGATCACAAAGTTCATACACTGGGGTTCGAAGTATTTCGTCTCGGAATTCAATGTCCCCATCCACCATGTCATAGACCAGTCTTAGCAAGTGGTTGTTTTATCAATCCTTACACTTTCCCTTATCATTGGATGATTATCTGTACATGGGAGTCCGTGGTTGGTTAACCCATAAATTAGCTTGCCATCACTAGGCAGCTGTGCTACACCTTGCTTTCTTCTGTTTCACTCACTTTTTTCAATGACATCTTGTACTTTTGATGGTTCACACCATAGAACTTTATCTTATGTAACTTGTCGATCTTCTGTTATGTGTAATGGCTGAGACGGTCTATCACTTGTGTCCCTGGATTTGTTTTCACTCCACGAGTATCTATGAATTGATCATAGGCGGGATGACGCGATCTCTCAACTTGAAAGCCTGACCTCTTCCTGAGTTTTCCAGCCGGTTAAAATCAGAACAGACACTAGATCTCGGAATCACAAAGCAATCCTGTTCGATTTTCGCTATGTTCTCTACCGCTGTCATCACCAAACAATATCGATTACCGTCGTGGCTCCACAGTTCTCTTTACTCCTGTCTGCACCTAATCTTGATGGGCCTTCTGCAGAGCTATGGGCAGACTCTCCGATAATTTGCACCCTTTGCTAGTTCGTTCACCTCTTATCTGCTCCTTCGTCGTCAGCGATGCTTTCCATGACCTGTGAATATTTGTCCCCATTGATCTGTCTCTCCCGAGCCAGTGCGCATCGCCTGGGCCCATGAAACACACTGCGTCCATAGACCGTGTATGGGTTGACTCAGCTTTGCCAATGTTGTCGTAATAAATTGCATCTCAGCAGTTGGCTTCACAAAAGCTGCGTTCCCATTGACCACTTTCACCCTCTTCCTGTCACTCTGCGTGGGCAGCCACGCTGGCGCGGGGTGCCAGAACTTCTGGTCTTTCCATTCATATCCTTAGCACCACCAATTCTCCTCTTGATGTTTTCGCTTGTTTACATCAGTCCTTTCCACACCCTCCCCCAAACTAAATGATGATGTTGTGAATTACTTTTCGACGTTTGTTCGTTATAATACACGGCGGATGTCGAGCAATGGACCCCTTCTAACCAATGTATATATCCAGGGTGTTGAGACGCACCTCCACTTCTGCTTGCTTCACTAACCTGTGAATCTATGTCCATCGATGAGCTGCAATGATTTTGGCTCTATGGTGATGAAACTTATCGTGAACAGACGAGACGACGCGGTAGCTGATCTATGGAAATAGGCATAAGTAGTACGGCGGTACTGCGTACCTCCACAACCACCACAATCGCACGCAGACTAAGGATATTAGAAGACTCGCCCGGTCCCTACGCAGGCTCGAACCTGCGCCCTCGGATTACAAACTAGTTTGTAATCCTTAAGGCTACGGGTCGTACTGTCAATTCTCTTATGAGGTAACCGCATCGTGTGTGTATGGTGCATATTTCGTGTTTCTTTTGGTTTCGCCTGGTTTTGTGACCGGTTGGACGTCTGCGTACCATGGCAATTGCGATTTCACTCATGGTAACACCTTATCGGCCTTTAAGTTGTATGTTCAGTACAAACAAATGCTAATTGCCGCACAATCTTGTATTCTGATGTAATGTATGTTACTATAACTGGAAATCGATCCTACCGTTTACGACAATTTATCAGTGGTAGTATGACGCATTGCGTTCCGTTAAGCATCTTACTGCAGGGATGGATGTTAATTTGCATAAATACCGTAAGAAAAACTTATCCTAGGTCACATGTTATAATCTGGCTTCCGTTTTTACCAATTGATTCCCTATACCTGCATCAGCATACCACGATTCTGCCTGCCCTACCGGACACAGGAACATTCTTTTCGTTCTCATGTAGACCATTCTCTTACACTTACATTTTTTTCATTACCACACTTGAGACGCGTGCTGTTCAGCCAATCGGGATGCGTTCGTCCTTAAACGTGAAACTATGGTCCTGGCTGTTAAACAAATGCCCTGTATTCGTGCGGGTTGCTCGTTGGCGAACTGTCGAATGCCTCGCTCGACTATTCACTAGCTCCGCCAATCATTCATTACCCAACCAGGCGCACCAAGTCAACCAACTTGACCACACGATTCCACACTTCTCTGTATTCCAGTCGGTGGGCGACTTGACCAGCATCACGCCTTCCGCTTTTCATGCGCTAGCGAATATTAAATGTCTGATTGCAACTGATGAACCCTGTTATTCTCACATCGTCTGCTTGTGTGATCATTGTATCTAAACCGGAGTCTTCATCGAACCGTTGATACGCTTGCGCGATCCACTCCCACTCTCTCTATGTTTCACCTACAGCCGCCTAACCATCTCACTGTGGCACCTTGTTCCATTGCTGTGGAATCCATATTGCTATCTTCCGGCTTATTGATCCCCTAATCACTTGTCACTCATAGACTATAGTATTCTTTCCTTGGTTGAAAATGCAGTAATGATTGTGTCTTGCTTTAAGTAGCAGCTTCTGTGAAAATTGGCTGTCGACTTTTGTTTCCATCTCCACAACTACAACAACTCTGCCACCCTGCTACTTTTCTGTTTGGGTAAAGTGGCCTAATATAGCGATATCTTCATCACATCTATCCCACATCTGCTGTTTTGCATTACTTGATTCATACCACGGATTTTCAATTCATTGCAAGTGTTTTTGGCCTCATAAAACGAAGAGTTCATTAAAGAACTAGAGTATCTCACAAGCCAACATTGTTTGTTGCCACTTCGCTAGACGATGGGACCTAACGCCGAGCAATTACATATTTCATTGATGCACATCCGTTTTGTTTTTTCACCAGCCATTTTCTCCGTCACCTCAACCGGCCGTCAATTTCGTCGCCCCTCATCCCTGGGGGACGCTACACAATGTAGCGTGTTTATTGCTTTTTGTCCTTGATCTAAATGGGAAATTAATTGTTTCATAAATCTAACAGCCTGCTTTCCACGCGCAACATATGCGTTTTGGACGAAGGCCGAGTAATCTTGTCATTTTAAATAGTTTACTCCAAATCACTTATTCTTTATTGTCATTATTTTTACTGACTGTTTTACTCGAACTCATTTTTTAATACGTGGGTAGTTTGAAACACTTGAGTGCACTTTCCTGCACTACACATGCTTTCTCATCCTTACTCATTAGACGCCTTTGATTGTTCTGCTAATATGCAAATTTCCTGTGAACGTTTGCATGATTCTGCCTTATATTTTGTTTTCCAGATCCTTTTTCCCTTGGTTACTAATGTACTCGACGTGTTTGTGAGCGCTCCGTGTGATCGCGATGAACAGCAGAACATTCTCTTAATGCATCATAGCCGAGACACTGCTTCAAAACAATGGGCGGAGACTGTAGCACTCACTTTGTCCGGCACGACCCGATTATTCATCTCCAAACAAGACATACTTTTGCCATTGAGTAAGTCGGTTTCAGTGAACGTTTCGTGTGCATTCCCTGCCACAAGCTTATTGTCAACTCACTAGGACGTTTCGTCCCCTGAGTCTAAAAACACCTGATGTACTCACTCGCGCATTCTTCTTCATTAATCGGTTATAACATATCTTCGACTGATATGAGTACTACCTTCATCAAAAGTATGCATCTGATTGCAGTCCGGAAACTGGCCACACTTGGTTTTCGTCTGTGTCCCTGGGCACCTTTACCTATTTTGTGCACTCGAATGCTCCATTCGAGATGTCCCTTCTTAGACGCATCCCTCAGTCATAGCCGCACACATTTGTATTGTTGTCTTTCTTCTTAATTGTTCCGCACCCTAGGATACAGTCCAGTTTAACACATTAACTTATTATCTGCTACTTCGGGTTCATCTCACAACGTCGGTGCTTACTCAGTTAAATGACACAACCTCTTCGAGCAACTTCGCAAGAAGTTTGCGAACTCCTTTCATTCCATTTCACTTCAACACTGTTTTCAGACGATTTTCCACAAATCTGGTCCGCCTTACTACACCAAATTAAACTTCACGCGCTCACAGAAAACGCAGAGATCTCGGTAACGGCGCTGACTTCAATGCAAACTCTCTTAGAATTACAACCTGATGAGCAAGATTGGGACACGATCCTTTGGCCACCAGCCTGGGAGACTTGGTTACAGATTGCCTCACATGCTGTGCACCTACGGGGTATACAGCGGAATCTGGACAATGCGTCCACCTCCTCAGCGGCTACTGTTGATAACGCTGTCGCCAAGGACGATTCCAACTATGTAAGTCCCGCATTATGGTTCCACCTGCATCACTTAAAACGTTAGTTCTTATGTCTATGAACGGCTGATTTATTGACCTTTTACCGTCAAATTTGCACTTGATATTTCCTGCTTCTGTTCAACTAAACGGTTTACGTTTTCGGTCCACATCGAACTGTAATGAATTAGCCAAGGTTACGAGTTGCCGTGTGTGAGGCTCATTAGCTTTGTGGCCGTTTACTTGGGGTGGATACAGTCACATTGCTGGGGAGGAGTGTTTGTCCACAAAGCAACAGTCTCACTGTGATTCCGCCTGTTCCTGTTTCCATTGGTAGAATCTGTTTCTGCTTAGACAGGTGCAGCTTTTGACTCGGTTCACAGAACTGACTCTTCGCATTGTTCGACTAGAAGTGCTGTCCTGTTGTTGCTTTCTAGTATTCGTAATTTTATTCTTGCAACTGAGTTGACACGGAACGCATGGTGCCCTCTCCTTCTCCATATTATCACCAGAGTTGTACAACCAGATTGCTTTGTTTGACCCACTTTCTTTAGGGGCACTTTGGATTCTAAGTAGAAAGCAATCACATCTAGACTCAGTCAGACGGTCATCACACACCCGGAAAAACACTGTACGCCCGCTCATTGTTTTAGGACTCATCAGCATTGCGCATTCCATTTGACTCTTGTGGGGCCTGAACCCGCAACTCAATTGTTGCCAGTCTGTGGTTAAAACCACTGAGCTACGGGGTGCGGTATCTTATCGCTTACTCCGTTCAGTCTCAATTGCCGAGTATGCTTATAGTTTTCAATATGCGCCAGGTATTGTTTCTTCAACTGGTGATTCAGCCGGTTGACTAAAATGCCCATCAGTACCGGTCGACGATTATCCAGCGCTCTTCAGGAAATTGTACAGTCAGTTTCAAGAATGTGTTCTAACTCATACCGCTGCGGATTTTTTGCTTTCGTTTGTGATCGAGTCTCCGATTGCTCTGATTTCGTCTGGAAGATGGCTAAAGACAACTCAGTTTTCTAGTCAACTGCATACTGTTTCCTTCCATGTCACCTGTTCATTTCAACATCTCGTCAACCTAAACGAGATGTTGCCAAATATTAGGTCATACTTCCACCTACGCTGTTCACCTACAGCGCTACATATCAGACGATTCAATGGCCACAGGATATTTACTTTGCTTGATGTCGATAACCTATTCAGCTTAACCTTGAACGGCAACAATTTCCGGGCTATGTAGAGGCTCACCCCAGAGTATGAACACCACGAGTGTCACCAGACGAGAGGAGAGCATGTCTATCCTACACTGACTTGCTGCCGCCTGTCTCAATTCCGACAGCCTCTGGTTAGTAAGGTCTAGAACCGCTAATCTTCAACTGGCCGTAATATCATTATGTGGACAATCTTCGCACGTCACTAAAAATTTTCCAATGGTATATGTGAACGTTTTAAATTAAATATTTACCATTTCACTTTTCGAAGTTCTCTGGTCTGACTTGTTTCTTACTAGCTTGTGAGTTCGATTATTGTGTCAGATGCTCGGAATGAAGCCCTCTCCAAATCACCACTTGACTTGTTCTCGTATGTGCCCGGTTAACTAACCGATCGTTTAAGTCAAGTACCCGTGAATACGACTTTCCCCCTGTTTGACAGCCAGAGAGCATCATCTCTCCACAGTACCCCTATTTCTATTTGTTTCCCTCTTTCACCTCTGACTGGCACCAACAATAGACGGAGACAAGCATATAGATAGGGCAATGAATTATGTCGCCACCGTAACGATGTCACATAAAAATATCAGTGTATGCTGAACGTAAGGATGAATTATTGTAATTGGCATCCTGTGTTCGGTATCCAGAATCTGAGGTGCGACGTGCAGTTGACGGAGGGCGTCGGGTGCGGAATATCAAAGGATATTGACTGCAGACTATTCGTGCTATAGCCTAAGCCTGAGGCAGTATGGATGTCCTGTGTCCGTGGTGTTCGGGGTCACACATGTGTGATAATGAGGCCAATACAAGTAACTTTGCTTTTAGTGTGTATGTTCCTATTTATTGTGCCCTGGTCATCTGTTCTAACTAGGTGCTTCTCTGGACAAATTCTTTAATGTGTCGGATCACATGACAAGGATGATACATGTTATTCTTGCAGCTCACTTTGACTGTCATGTGTTGAGTATACCTGACGTTATGGTTTTGCAATTATGCAAAACAGATTATGACTCATCTGAGTCTCACTGTGTTTGCGTGAAAGCGAGAACAGTGCGGTGGATGCGAAAAAAGGACACTTGCCAGTGTTACATCTATATCATAGAAACCCCAAATGGGAATTAATCTGTCAGATTAAAACCTGGTACTTGCAGTTCACGTTGGTGTTTTTAGCCTCTTAGAAGCTACTGGTCAACAGACAACCCCTCCTCTTTCAGAGCTATTTTATGCTTACCATGTTCTGTGTATTTAAGATACACATACTTTGTCTGCATTGTAATAAATCTTCGACCACTCAGCTCCAGTTTCAGTGGCAATGGCTACTTTTCCAACCTTTTGATGGTGCGGATTCAGAGTTTCAAGGATACGCACCACAATCGTACAGTCAGTGACACTTCTTCAGTCTATTTCTTCAATCTTTCTGTCGTTGTTCTATCCCGAGTAATTTTGCTCATTTTTTCTTATCTCCCTCCCTTTTCTTTGTGTCCTGTTTGCTACCGGCCTCATTTTTTACCATAGCTTTTTCTCCTTATCCTAACGACGCGAATAGTGGCAACTGAATCCACTGATCCTTGGTGCTCGGATCTCCGTTGTTTAACTGAACCGAAAGATTTCGGGTTGTTTTCATTGTTGGTTTTATACTTAGCAGGAAGGCAGAATGCAGCCCATTCCAACAAATCCCTCCCGTGTTGTCACCTATAATAATAATAATACTGCATATATTTCCCGATTGTACGAGAAGCTGTCCCTGGATTGTGGACAGATCATGGGACAATTATCATGCTCATGCATGAGTGAAACATGTAATATGGGGTGCATGATATCAAAATAGTTTGGAATTACGTAACTTTTGTTGTTGCTGAGTTTTTTGCACCATCTTTAATCATTGATTATATATTATTTACTCCATCTTGAAAGAACTCGTGTGGTGATTTACCCGATGGAAACATAGTCATTATCGAGTTCTGCTTTAGGAATTTTCTTAGCTGAATATGGAATGCTTTTGCATTTGTGCAAGGTCTGATTGTAGTTGATAGGCTATTCCACACGGCAGCTTATCTGACGAGGAAGAAGTTGGATCGGATAGCTGTCCAGTTTCTCAGCACACAATGTACAGGTCTTGTTGCGTTTATTCTGAGTGAAGTTATGTTGAATTTGAAGTGTACACAGATTGGAGTATGTCTTTTGGTTTATGAGATTTTGTATCAGCGTCAGGTTATATTTCAGTCGTCGCAACCAAAGGGTCTCGAGCTTAAGCTACTGGCAGCGCTCCTGATAACTCAAGGTGGTTGATTTACTGAACAAGCGCTTAGTGAATGATCTTTGCAGGTCTTCTAAAGGTTTCCTGTCACCCATTCGCATTTTCCCATAGATGAGGCTGCAGTATTCAAGGACAGGAAGTGTAAGTATTTTGAAAAGTTCGAGTCTGGCAGGGGTTGTATAGATTTTATGGCATTTGTTTGCCACAGATCGTTTGGCACGTGCTATTTGATACTCAATTTGCTCTGAGAAATTAAGGTTTGAAGAGTATCGTATGCCTAGATAACAGTTGGATAGTTTCGCACAGATACGTTCATTGTTCAGTTTAACTCTTCAGGGATTGAACCGCCGTGTGACATAATGCATGATTTACTATCTGAGAGACTTAACATCCATGTGTTGCACCATTTCTCAAGTGAATCGAGGCCTTCTTGAACGCGCAGCATTGCGCTATTGAGTTCGTCTCGTCGAAATTTATAAACAATCTTTAAGTCATCGGCGAACAAAACGGTCTGGTATGTTTTATGAACACCGTGATGTCGTTAATATAAAGCAGAAAATGGGAAGGACCGAGTACACTCCCTTGGATGACACCACTAGTGATTGGACGTGGGGAGGAGTTATGATTACCCAGTGACGATCTGGTAACGCCCAGTTAGGTATGATGTCAGCCAACCAAATAGTGGGTCTCTGATTCCAAACAACTCTCTTCTTTTCAATAGCCGCTTGTGGGGCACTCTGTCGAATGCTTTCTGCATAACCAGGAACAGTATTATAACTGCATATTTCGAGTCAATGGCTTCTGTGATATAATCCAGGTAGTGCAGCTGACTCGTTTTACAGGAACGTTTGTCGAGGAACCCATGCTGGGATTTGTCAAGTAGCCCATGACAATGGATAAAGTCCATGATTCCACTTTGAATTAATTTTTCGAGTAATCTAGCGATGGCGGGAGTATGATGGATAGGTCGATAATTGGTGACGTGCTGTGTAGTTCAGCCTCGAAACCACATCAAAACTAATGGTTGGTGTCCAAAAACTCTTGCTTTTGGGTTTGTTTCTATATATATGCATTTTAAAGAGCTGTCAACGAACAATATCCACGGTAACTCTCCGTTGCCATCCATATGGCCAGGATGCTTTGATTAATGCGTGTAATACGAGTGCTCTAGTGGACCGCTTGTCGGAGCTCAACTAACACTTAGGCTGGTGCATGTTGGCGGTTACCCTCCATGTGGATAACACCCAATATTTATGTATTTCACTTGCGATCCGAACGATTGAATTGACCAATATTCACTTCAATGGGGATCGCGGTCCACATTGGGATTACGTGTCGCAACCCATTCATCAAACAAGCGCTTCAAAGTGACCCTTGTACTAAGTCAGCAACCGTCGTAACAAACCTTGCGTTGACTAAGAAAAACTGCAGTTGTGTTGTTTTGTGGTCCGCTGATTTGAACTTGAACGGTATCTTTTTGTCATGCAGTTTAACCATCTATTACGTCACCATTATCTCCCCAGTTTCATGAAATGTTTATACTTTGCGTTCCATTGTCGAGAAAACTTAACATCGAGCTGCGCTGTTTTGGCGAAACGCGTCTCCCTGGTACGAGCGGACTTCCCGAACCGACACTGAACGCCGGTAACCTTATTCTGATGCTTGATTTTACCGCTGTTCAGCACCATGTGATTCAATGGTACCTTTTGCTCACTAATTGTCACACATCTTCCCTATGACACATTTAGCATTATCACAACTTTAACCGTACTACAATATTCCTCCAACCGACTTATACTTATTTTATCGGATTAACTCAAATTCCTGGCAGTTAAAAAAACAGGTGAGCTTCTTCGAACTCGGCGGAAAACGCATTGATCCTTCATGTCGCTTTCTCATATACTACAACAGAGCCATGCTTACAGGTGACTTACGATGTCATTCTTCTTGCCTTGTACGTCACCTATGATTCAAGTAATTGCACCTGCTAGGGTTAGTTGCACCGTAAAATGTTTTTTACTACCCCCTCAACATTGATTCTATCTTGCAGCGCGGGGGCATGTCGTGCTCCCACTGTGCGGCTCCCCGTTGTTTTCAGCACTGTGCCCGGTCCGGTCTTAACATTTTCATGTGCGCTGTTTTATTTCCACAGGCGTCCTGTAGTCATAATTTTAGTCATCTCGTTTCCATTCCAATTTCGACTGCTTTTGCTTGCGATTCTCATTTAGCAGAAATCTAAGCCTGGTTTTGATTCCACCTCATATCACTAGATTTCCGAGTGCTTTTCACTTCGAACACGTCTTATTTGCTTTACTAGTCATCCCAATCAATTGCACAGCGTTTATCGTAACGAGATCTGCTTAGATTCTCTTATGCACCTTCGTACATCATTTTCGATTCTCTTTTTAGCCCTCGGTCACTTTCCTTCCTTCGACCGCGTTCTTGACGTTGCTGTTTGATCTGTTCGCCCCGCTGTTCCATCGCATTCGAGTCCATTTCACCCACTCAGACCTCACTCGTGTAGAAGAAATTATTCGGCTGGGTGTGCTCACCCCCCTTCACGTATCTTGTCTGTATTCTCAAACCCGCACCAACTCACCTCCACTGAATGACGATGGTGCTTTGTCTCCAGCACAGGAATCTCTTCTTCGGTGCCTGGACAATTTGCTTCAGGTAACCTTTATGGCGTATTGTTTAATTCCATATCTTTTTCACTTAAGAACAACCTTAATTTCTCTGGTCTTTCCTAGTGATTATTCTGGTTTTTGTCTCGATATGCTGATCGTTTTCATTGGTATTCTTTTTGAGTGATTATTCCTGAGCTTTTGTTCATCATAGTTGTTGCAATTGCTACGGGACCGGTGTCACAAACTCGCTGTACTGTCTGGAAATCGCCTTTTCAAATATGCTTCAATGCACTGCTTGTATTATCTTGAAAATGTCATGCATTATCATTTCAAGCTATCACCCTTTCGACAGCAAAATAGTTGGCCTCGTTACTTAACTCGATAAAAGTGATTCCACGTCTAGACAGTCATAGGAGCTGCTTGATGGCGCCATAAATATAATTAGTTTTCCTTTGTTTCTTCATTAGTTAATAAGTACTCACCGGAGGAAGACTATAATTAGATGGAGTCTCGCGTAGCCACTGGTCATATTTGGAATAAATTAATGTGCCATTCCTGATCCACTACGCGCTGCCAAGTGTATATATTAACTTACACGTGCCTGTTGCGAGTTTTATAGCGTTTCACCACTCGGACTACTTCTAATTTCTCTCATGATGTCCAGTCTTGATTGCATTCGGCGCCCAGTAGGCCACAGCCTATCGCTATAGCTTTGTGAGACCACCTTTCGTTCCATGGCAGCTTGCCTTTTTTTAGTACATATGATTCGCTGTGATCACTGCTGATATATAAATCGTAGTCTGCACATAGCCAAATAGTACTTTCACTACTTTAAGGTCGAAGTGAATCAGTCCGGAGATTCACTATTTTGCTCCCGGTGAACGCATTCACGTCACTCACATCGCTCTTTACCCATACTTCAGGCTGTTCAGGTTCTGGTTTTTAAAAATGATCTATTTATTCGTCCTTGACGGACTCCGGATCGTTGCTGTTTGGGGCACATATCTAAACTTCCGCTGCTTTTCAATTCGATTTCCGTTCCGACTTTGAGTTAATTCTTGTTGTCACTGCGCTCCCCGCTTACCTTCGAAACTTGTGCACTGATTGATGTTGTAATGAATGTTCTCAACTCAGAGTTCAGTTGCGATGGCTGTTTTCTATATCCGTGGTTTGCCCGAGTCCATGACCAGAGGTATTTACAGTCTTTCGGGATGAGACTGGACCTTAAAATGATGTTATGTTTTGCGTATCCCCGTGATTCATTGATCTACACTGGGTAACGCTTTCCAGCTGCCTTGATAGCCACAGATCAATGGTTTAGAGTCAGGCCAACTCAGTTTAAGCTACATCTTTAAAGATTGGGGAGACATCGATGGCGCTCTTCCCTCACAACGTGGCTTTGGAACACAACAGGTTACGAGTTGTAGGCTCACACCTCGATTGGCGTAGAACACAACTATCTTTGCTTTTGGGACTACCACTCCGTGCATCATAGTTTGCTATCGCCCGCCTCAATCTAGGCTGCCTTCGGTTAAATTGGTGCAAACCCGCAAACTCCCACAGGCGGCTGACCGTGTTCACAGATATACACCTTACTACTGTCGAAAAGCGTACAAGAATCGTCTTATATTTTCGGAGGATACATTTGACATACCTTTAAAAAATGGCAATTGAACTCAACCCTGCAGGAACTAGACTTATTCCGCACTGTCTTGTCGTTTATGCTCTTGAGTCGGAATCTAGAATTAAGATGCATCAAGCAAGACCTCCCTCGCAATGACAGCCGGAGTGCATCATCTGCCGACATAGCGGCATCACCGGTAATCTTTCTTTCTCTTACCTTTCCCTTTCGTTTTCGAATCCTTTTCTTGTGTTTACCAACAAGAGCCAACTACTGATTCTGTCGTTCGCACCATAAACAATGCCTGATCATCTCTCGAAGCTAAGGTGCCATTCCACACCGGATCTTTCAATGTCCACATACTGTCAGATCGACCAACTGACGACGTTCGTTTTGACTTAACAAAACCCCGGAGTTGACGTGTACTATGTCTCCGAAACCCGTGCACAGAATAGCAGTGTCCTAATCCATCTGCGCCCCTATCGGACTTGCGTAACCTGTTCTTCCATACTATATCCATGTAAGCAAACATAAGGTATCATTCGGCTTCCAAGTCCCATCGAAGTCGGGAAACAAAGTCTGAAGGCAGGATGCATTTATGTCATTTCCGCCCACTCTCCCACCGACTAGAGCTCGGAGGTCGTCAAAATGAGTTCTATCGCCAACTCTTCCTTTATTCGATTGACCAAAAATGCGGATAGCATGATCCTTGTGAGGGGCATGAGCACCGAAATCAGTGACCTATCCAAATCAACAAGTTACCTCGGAGGCTGGTTCGACCTTAATGCACATCGTACTGAAGATGGTGACCCATTTCTTCCGCTAGGCACAGGCCAGAACCTCTGTGTCCGTAGCACAGCTTTTCAGCACAAGCGTTCACGCTGTGTGACATGAATGCCATCAAAAGCCAGTCTGCGCTGGACTCAGGTTGATCACATCATCATCATCTGTGGGCGGCACAAGTCAGTGCAAGATTGTCGTTCTATGTGGAGCACTCGTTTCGATTTTGATCACACTGTCATGCGTACCCGTCTGTCGCTTTCCTCCAGCCTCGGAGAAGCGCTTATGTTCGAAGGTGTTTAATATCAGTCAGGAGGCTGATGTGCATATCCAACCTGGATAGACCGGATTCTCAAGTGACCACCTCGTGCGTTTACCATTTTACTTGTACTTGCGGTAACAAGTACGTTGGCAGAACTAAGAGAAGTATGTCGCGATGATTGCAGAGCACGTCCCCCTGGTACCTGGTCGCAAATGGCCCGAAACTACCCATTAGCTCTATTGGAAGCCACGTACTTTATTGACCTGTATGCGAAAACCCACGTGGTGGGTTTAAGGTAATCAACAAACAAATCAGTCCCCGTCTACTTCAGTTCGCTGAGGCCTCGGCGATTCGCCAGCTGAAACCAAGTTTGTGCAAACAAACGAACTTCGTGATCAGCCTCGTCCTACTCTGGTGAGATTAATGTCGTCTTTCCTCTGACTGGGTCACCTGAACTCACCGATTTCCGACCGCTTTAAATTTTCGCCGATAACATTGCAACTTGATCGCCCTTGCTATGTAGTCTGTCCTTTCCACAAATTGTTTGTGAACAGCTGAGGAGAACACACAAAATTACTGCATTCAGTATATCCTGTTAAAATGTGGTTTCTTCTTGCTCTTTCGAAATATCAGTTATCACTGACGATCGAGATAAGCGAACCGAATTCTAATCACAAGGGAATGGTAGTGGAGTTGAATGGTATAGGTAGAAATTCATCGCATCTAGATAGGCAGACAGCCATCACACGCCCGGAAAGGCACTGTACGACCGTTTCATCCTTTTGAAAATCGTCAGCATTGCGCATTCCATCTGACCTCTGTGCGGCTCGAATCCGCAACTCAGCTGTTGCCATTATGTGGCTGAAACCACTGAGCTACAGGAGACGGAAACAGCCGTCGTGACTAAGTTGCCAGATGTGATATTGCGCCTCTCACTATCCCCCGACTTGCACGTTACTGCTAGGGACATCCTTCAATGCGCAATGTAGAGAACACTGGATGGCGCTTGTCCTAACAGCTACAGGCGTCTGAGCAGTGGATGGACACCTGGGTTTCGATTGGTTTCATTGGAGAAAGGAATGCATTTGCGCTGGTATCTCAATTTCAGAGTGTCCGTAAAACACCTTAACGTTGCCTGATTTGAGTGTTTGTGGGTCGGATGGCGAAAGTCTGTGAGATGGAAAAGTTTTGTCTTTGAAAGCACGCGAATACTATTCCGGCTTATTCGACTCACTGATCCAAAAATGTTTCACGTTAGTGAAACGATAATAAAAGACCGAAAAACAGGTTCACTCTTAGCCACGTCGACTAAAATGCTGTGCCGGACACTAGTTTTGTGTCAATGTCTATCTTTGTGGAGTGTACATAAGGAATTCCTTTCTGTTCTGAAATTCTATAGACTACGACTTCCGCAACCGTTCGAAAGTTTGCGGGAAACTCTTCCTTAAGTTTATCACGGCAAGTGGAGTACGTCAGGGCTGCCCCGTTTCTCCATTTTCCTTCAAATAACTCAACTGTATCTCTCCACTTTTCTCGAGGTCGATGTTCTGTTGGATGGACTTATGTCAACACTAGCTTATGTGGATAGGTTAATTCTACCTTGGTTGTACGCACCTGGTATGCAGGCGCTATGGAACAGATTAATGCGCAAGGATTCACACTTCTGTATACGCTTCGCACCTCCAGAGTGCAAAGTGCTGTCATAGGATTCGGCCTACTCACTGTTGACTCTTACTATGGCTGAGCAACCGCTCGAAGTTGCCGATGGTATTGTTTTTCTGGGTAACTGTATCATCTTTCACGGCCATGTTACCGATAAGTTTACTGCACTCATAGTTGGTGAATCCTTTCAAAGCGGCGTCTACTTGGGGATCTGATGAAATGCAAGCATACTGGTTAGGGGAAGGATTTCCAACGCTGGGACGCAGTCAATGTCGCTGTATAGATCAAAGATCTGTCCGCTGCGTGCAGATAATGTTAGGATATTGGGTGTTTCAGACCACAGCTGCTCGCGAACTATTTCTCCTGGTGGAGTAACTAGGTGTGTGATACGAAAGTTCTCCGTATAGTGTTCAGCAGCCGGCCCTCTAGTGCCGCAACGGATCGGCCGTTGAAATCGAATCGCCTTCATTGACGGTTATGCGCTCCGCATGCCTACCAAGGAGTCGACGGCCTTATGCAGATGTCTGCCAAAATTACTACTGCTGATAGTAATAATAATAATAATAATAATAGGTACCCCTCTACAAGTGGCGTGCCTCAAGGCACTGTGCTGGGGCCCACTCTGTTCCTGATCCACACCAACGATCTACCTCAGCTTCTCCGGTCGCCTTGTGCCTTGTTTGCGGACGACATGAAGATTTGGAGAGAAATTGACGCTCCCGATGACTGTGGCCTACTTCAGCAAGACCTCAACCTCCTATCCACATGGTCTGCAGAAGTTCTTCTCCCAGTCAACCCAGCCAAGTCTGTATTTATGAGCCTGGGGAAGAGTGCTGACGGCCGAAACTACACCCTTGACGGCCAACCGCTATATCCCACACCCTCCGTGAAGGACCTAGGTGTCCTCTCACGCTACAATTTGGAGTTCGTTAGACAACACGAACAGTCTATATCCTAACGGACTGCGCATGCTTTGAGCGCTCAAACATAGCTTCGGCACATAGTCTGAATAGGTTGCCACTCGCCTCTTCTCTTCCATCATTAGACCAATGCTAAAGTACGGTTCAGCCGCCTACTTTCCGATTACCCGAGGCGAGGCACAAAAGATCGAACGGGTCCAACACGTTGCTACCAGGCTCATCCCGAGTTTACGTGGTTTGGGGTATGAAGACCGGTGCGAGAAACTAGGTCTCTACACCTTGTCCTACTGTCGGGTGCGAGTCGACCTCATTATGACCTACCGTACTCTACATCTCGGTGACTTCCCAATGCTAAGGCCAATGCTGCACTTACGAAGGCCATGCAACACACGCGGACACAGATACAAACCTGTCGTGCCGGATGTGAAGCATGTTCCCCACCCCTGTGCTTCGAACGGAGAGTGGTAAACATTTGGAACAGTTTACCTGAACATGTGATGGAGGCAACATCTGTGCAACAGTTCAAAACGTTGTTAGATTTATATTTTACCACTATTCGATTCAGAGAACTGTTGCACACTTACGATGACATATCACATTCGTGAGTCCTGAAATATCGTAAGTCAGATATTTTAAACGTTACATGAGGACGACAATGATATTAGCGGTTGACAATTTTTCCGACATTTTTCACCATATTTCGAAAGAGTTGTACAGAATTCATTTCTATTTGCTCTATAATACAGTATTCAGTATATTCTTCTTGATGAGATGAACTGTCTGTAGCGGCACAGATCAATTTGTACAGAAGAATCCATGCTCCTACATGTGTGACATGCATAGGTGTAGTATTGGGATATACGTTTCGTATATTAACATTCTGGTGGATTGGGTGAAATCTCAATATTGTCACTGAGTGAGATGACAGACATCGCTTGAAGAAGCTCACTGGAACACTGGTTCATGTTGCTGCTTATCATCTCCCCGGATGTGTCACATCAATGATTGAACACGTACTGGGACATGATACGGTCGGGAAATCGGTGACGCTTTTGCGTTCACTCAGACTCTCGATTATTCCATCCAACAAATTAGTTTCTTGTTTCTTCCTCTCGAGTTGTTATTGTTATCATCGTCACCTGCAACATGATTTTTCCGGCAACGTGTGTCAAGGTTACCTATCGCATGATCATTGCTGGTAGACTGAAATGTGTTGAGCTGGTATTTACCACCTAGGCATTGTGTTCGTGAGATAAGTTGCTTCACTGCTCGACTCCACCGTGGATGGACATCTGATGTGCTCCCATACGACCACAACTCGAGAATTTCGTCGACGAATCCCATCAGCACATCTGTCTCATTCGTTTGGTTGATAATACCGACACTGTACTCGCTGCATGCGACATGACTGCCCCAGTTGATCGTTCACCGATGGTCGGGCAGCGCCTATGCTATCATGAAGTTTACTTCAACCTCGTCGAAAACTTCCTTCTATTCCTTCCACTGTGTCCTGATCACTACCAACATTGATATCTCCTAGCGTAAGTGTTCATATCGCGTCATCTGACACTCTGAACAAATCAGAGTTTTGAGCCCTCATCGGCCATCTTGTTCTGCAGCAAATAACACATCTCCGCAAAAGTGTTGGTCGATTCAGAGTCCTTGCATAGATCTCGGTGTTGCGTTTTTGCTCACTCGGATCGTACTTGTTCCTTTTATCAACTTCTAAATTATTTGACCCCACCGTCTACAAACCAACATTGTCACTACGGGTTGAACTATTCGCCGTCGTTGGCGGTTGTTGTAAATGTGCTGGATTCCGATTGACTTCATAGCGACTACTTCATAAACCCATCATCCAGACATCTCCAGGAATCCAAATAACTGGGTTTTCGGAAGCTTCTGTTGATTTCATCCAGCAGTTGATTTCAGTGTGTTCAGGACAGTGACGTGGTATTCCGCTATAGCCCTCAAAATTGGTCGGGGGCTTCGCTTTATACCAAATGTCCGTCGCCTGAAAGTGCTGAACAACATTGCAAGCGGCTTAATTTTTTTCAATTGATGCGAAGCACGAATCGACGAAATCCCCCAGTAAACGTAATTTTCGTTTGAAATAATGGGCGTTTGTTTTCTTCCCAACCTCTTGTACCCTATCTGAAAAGTGGTTGTCTTACCTAATTTCTAGGTGATCTGACATATACCTGTCTTTATTGAAGCAGAATAAGGCATTTGGACTCGGTAACCTTCCGTCGTTGCTGCGTGATATTCACGGCCCACTTGCTGTCCATCCAGTTACTCCTTGTAACATCATAAAGTGTGTTAAAATGGTCTCCGAAGCTTGTGTTTCATCGATCACCCTCCGAGCTTCCGAAAGAACCCAGTTTTCTGAAAACTTACGGTGACTTACTGGTATTCGGGAGAGTGGGATCAGTGGAAACCAAACCATATTCACTCTGACGCATAGTGTTTCTCGTACATTTGTATTTTGGGTAGCAGAACTACGTGATATATACGGACTGTCTACAACGGTTTTTTCCTCGGCTTAATGTTTGCGTTCGATTCATTTGACTATCCTCGCCTTTGTCACCGTTCCTTTCTGAAGGACCTTTCACCCAAATTCATTGCTATTCCGAATTCCATTTACTGCGACTGCCGAGGTCATACACTCTAACTGCGTTCACCATGTTAAGTGGAACTGCGGGCGACCTCGTAGAGTATCCGTAGCGCGCGTGCGCTACTGGTGGTGTTGGCACGACAGTGAATCATTGGTACAGCTCACCAACGTACTGCCGTTGCCTTTCTGCCCATAACTGATGCACGGCCTGACCATCAACTTGCGTGCATCATGAATAACCATGTGCATTTCGACTATGGATTGTATATGTATATGTTTCTCGACTGTGTGAGACACATCCGAACTACGTGGTCGCATCATTTTGTACAGAAAGATCTCAAGGGGTAGATGTTTTTTCAAATTATCCAGAACAGTTCCAAGATACGTTTTCGGAGAGTTCGATCAGTAAAAATGTTAGAGTTTGGAAGTAGGATGGAAATGTTTATTGAGAAAAGTTCAAGTGTTTATACGGCTATCCGTGAAACCGTCTCCTGGGGACCTGGCTTTATGCGGGGTGGTCCCTCCAAAGGCTTCATACGCACTTCCACGTCCCATCTGGCTTTGTGATGGTGTGGCATAATAGAAAGTGAGCCATCACCGTATTAGCTCATCTTCAGGGCCGTTGTTATGTATAGTGACTAATAGGCTCGCAGAGGTAAATGAGTTTGCTGTTTTTCATTTTTTTATACGTTTTTAAGCCGTTAAGCCCATTTCAGCTTCTGACACTTTTTTACTCTTCGAATCTGTGAAAATTCGCCACACGTGGATGTATTGACTAATTTGGAAGCTTCATCTCGTCACCTCAGATGAGCGGTCCAGTCGTGGTCAACATTGGAAAAGAATGTGCCGAAATAAACATTTTGATAAATGAGTGGGATATATCCGACGGATTCTGCTTCAGATTGTACATAAAGATTACATAGTAGAATAAAAACAGCTCTCTAGACGATTTTGAGGTAGATCCGACGACTCCAAGCAAGGTGTGCAGAATCTACACCGTCTGCAGATTCTAGACTTTTGGTATCCCTCCTTGGATTGGGGCGCCACGCACAGCTGACTGGAGGCTAGAAGCACTACAAATTTCACCATCTGCCATTATCTTGCTTTCGTTCTCAGCATTGCTTTTGTTTATGTAGTTCCGCAACGCGAGCATCTCCAACCTCGTTCTCATAGTCAACCAACTCACCTCCCTCTTTCCTTTCGGCCCACTTTTATGTGCTGCGCCCGTTGTTAAGTACGATTGGAAGCGACTTTTCTGTCGGTCTCTATTGATTTCAATGTATTAAACCTTTTAAGTGAACGGTGCGATAAGTTCACTCCACTGTCCCCTTCTTACTTTGCCTCTTGTGAGTGCCGCAGTTTGTCTCCCTCTCTGTCTCTGTGCAGAACACCCGGTCTCCCGATAGCCACTTGAGCTGTCATCTTCCGGCTGTGCTGCGTTTGCTACTAACCTTGAGTGCTCTTGCAGTCGAGATTCCCAAATTAATCCAAGGCAACCTGGCCATTAGTGTCGGTACACGCTTGGTAAGTTTGCTCTCTAGCCTGCTCCATTTTATTATGATCTCAACATTCACTCCAGATTTTCCTTAGTTTCTGTTAACAAATTCGAGCGCAAATAGTGGTTTTACCCCAGTGCTCACCATGCCATTTTATAATCATACAGCTACTCATCGTTTCTTTTATCTCGCCAATCGGCCGTCTGGTCACACATTTTCCCATTCCATACGTTGTCGGATCTATTCAGCTTTGTTAGTTTACTTAGAGATTGAAACGATGGATTCCGTCCGTATTTCCGTTGAGGTTAGAGTCAAATTAACCCTAGAATTAATCGCGGACGGCGCCACTGTTTTTTCTGTTATTAGTCACACACTCCTCACAAACACAACATAGTTGGCACACATACTGCATCTCCACTTTGTCTGTCTGGTTCTCTACTCCATAATCACAGCTCATTACGAGCTTACACACTTGGTGATAGTACGGGACGTTGACCATTCTGCGCAGATACTGGTTGTGTATAACTTGATACTTTCATATCTTTAAGATATCCACTCGCAAATAAATAGAATGCTGAATGCACCTGTGTCTAAATTACCTTATAAATTACCTGTATTCCGATGGGTTTGGCCTAAGAACAAGGTCACCTTTACGGTTCAACGGCTTGTACCAACCTGACCGGCGATCAGCGACTTCCCGTTGTCCATCCTGCTTCCCTAGATGATTTGAAGAGTTATGGAAGCTGGTCCTCCGCTTCACCGGAAAGGACTTCTTACAGAACCAACCTGATTGTTTCCCTTGATCTCTGCTCCTAACTGGAGTACACAAAACCATTTTAGACCGTGCCTGATGTCTTTTCTAACCAGCTTGTTCATAATGTTGAGATTTTTCGTGGAGCATGTCTCACCGCTATTCCGGCCATTAGCGCGCTGACATGAACCGGAATACTTTTCGTTTTGCACATTGCCATTTACTCTTACGAACCACATTCCATACGTTGATGACGGCATAACCACGCATCTACACTTGTACGCCATTAAAAAAATTTTGCGATAATTCCTGATTTGATCCGTGTGCTTCGGTTTTTAGTGGGTGATCACCACTATTAAATCAGCCACCGAGTCACCCGTTGCTGGACCTTTATACGTTTCACAGCTCTGTCTTGTAGCTATATGATTGATGATTCGCTCAACATGTCTAATGTACCTACGAAAATTTACTCCTCCTTGTAACTTGAATACACTCGGATTTTTGTCTCCATTATCTCATAGGTCACTGTGGTTCCGCCGAATTACATCTTGTTTGCAGAAAAGTGCCTTCGACTAGCCATTGATGCATATTTGGCGATAACACATTGGAGCACATGTGCCCGCGCTGAACTACTAGAGGACATCATCAAGGTAATTGTAGGACCACAAGTCCATTTATTCCATTTTCATTCACGCTCAGTTGCAAAAACGTTGTTTTTAAATTATAGTGACCACATAAAATTCGACTTTACATCTTCTCTGATACCCGATAGCTGCAGGAGTCTTTTGACCTCTAGATGAATGGTAAACCTTTGTTTTCATAAGTTTTTGTTGGGGTCTCTATCACTCAGCTCATATGGCCTCGGTGCCCTTAGAGAAGCCACGTCTCCGATCAATGCCTCATTCTGTAGCAACTCCAGGGCTTCAAATGCACCTTTCCTTTCTACACTTTTTCTGTTGCTGCATTTCGACACCGCCCGTCCACTCGCTTCGCTCTGGACGCCTCTACGCTGCTGTTTTAACTTACCTGACGCTGCAGGTAGCTCGCGTTCGTTTGGCATATGAGCTACGAATTTTGCTCAGCAGCCCCGCTTTTCCAAGGCTTCTGTACCGTAAACTACGGAACCTCGGAGGATCATCCTTTTTTAGAGCCTTATCAGTTGTCTGCACAATACTTATTACCGTCTGTCTCTGGGCGTCGCACCGCATATTCTTACCTGACACTTGTCCGTAGATTGACCATGTGGTTCCTGCTACATTCTATTCGAACGCGCAGCCCACTATAGAGGTGTATACGCTTCTCTACTCCATCGTTAATTTCTCTTCTTCGTTTAATGTTGGCACCAGCGTTAGCCATGGTTGCTTTATCCCACTATTCCTGTACAACATTACCGATGTTGATGTTCTTCACCGAGCATTAGAAGTGATGTTGAACTCCTGCCCGGCGACATATACATGTACTTAGAATATGTGGATGACATGACTGCTGCGGGACGATTCACAAGATGCCCAAGACATTTTGAGCCGCTTAGCGATAGACGCATCTATGGATGGTCTGCATTTTGCCTCATTCAAATGTGAAACTTTGCTGTGAAATTGGAAAGTACCTGTGTCTGTGCTCATCATTGTAGTTGTCGATCTGAAGCAGGCTTACTGCTTTACTTACTTCAGGAGTTTCATCACTGCTGTTGCTGCTTGTCGGGGACGGAATTTCAAGGTGAATTACTGAAGCTCGCTCTTTATTCACTAAACAGCAGCACTTTTGATGTCGTCGAGATGTCAGCTTTCGACAATCGTTACCTGCAAACAATAGCTCGTGTATGTTGGCGGCACCATGTAAGCAATACTAAAATCAGGGGCCGATTACTGGGAGTGAGTAGGCCCGCCTCCAACACCGTTTACGTCGGCTCCACCACATACTGTGCATGCCAGCCCGTTGCCTTTTTCGTTGCGCAATATTTACACTGGATACGAATGGCAAAAGTGCCTCGGCGGGAAACCGATCCCGTTAGGAAAAAACGTAAATTGTTCGCTCATGTCCAGCATCAGCTTGATCTGTCCGTCTCCCAGGTTGGGAACCTAACGACGCGAACTCCTAGTGGTCAGAACTTTTGTACTTTTTGGCTCTCACAAGAAATCACTTGCGTCGTTGCTGTTCTGTCGTTCCTGTTTTGTGTTACCGTTCTAGTTGAACGAAATTCTCCCCTTCCATTCCCACCATAGTTCTAATGGCATTTTTATTGATTTGTTGACTTGTGAGTAAATATGTATTATAGTTTGTGTTCATGTTACCTATCTTCCCAGCGTACCGAACAGATTTACTATTGGGGATACCGGCATGCTTAACGCATGTGTGGGTGCACAGATGATTTCATGATTTTGTTTGGATCTTAGAGCCTAAGCTTACGAACACCACATATTTATCCTTATCGCCGAGCGTTTTCGTGTTGTCAAGGTCGTCCTAAACTGTGGTGTTGCTGGGAGTTTATGTTGAATCCAATTGACTGCTGCTCAGTACTAGTCGGATGCGCACCAGAGGCTCATTGATCAAGCTAACTTTACCCTGTAATTGATATTTCCTAAGGTGTCTGTCACTGCTCTCCAATTCCATGTCCATCGGGGTTGTTCCTATGCACCAATTTGATGCTACTCTTGCTTGATGTCATCTTACCTTCTGGTTCTACTCTCTATCTCAATAAATGAACTGTCACCTTAACTCTTTGGTTTTCTTCCAGACGCTCCACAAACCCATGTCATTGAAGTACGCTTGTTCATCTCAATCCACTTGGCTACTTGCTAGCCATCTTTTTTGCCAAGTGACTCCAACACTGATTTCTATTTTGACAACTTCAGAGGATCTGAAACCACCGGGTATGTCTTCTACTCCACTCTGTTGTTTGTCAGAACAGTTTGCAGTTCACCTTGTGCATCTACGTTATGTGAATACCCAGTGTGTGTTTGTGCTGTGTAATCAGCGATGCTGCGTTGTGTATACAGCCTAATTGCATCTGTTCACTCTCATCAGCGGGTCAGATCACAACTGCAACTGCTTCTCTGTGGGACATTCGGAAACCGCGTGAACAAGCTTATAGAATTAATACCGACAAGTATTATTTACCACTTTGCACATGTTTGCCATGTAGAACGAACCTTTGTGATCTTCTTACTCACCTTGGTGTGTGTACTGTTGCCACCTAATTGAAAAGTCTAGGGAACTGCGGTCAACGTCGAACAGACGGCATTTCTACTAACAACAGAGGTTGTGTCGGCCCCATAACTATATCCAGCTAGGTGTAACGGGGCAGTTGTGTCCAAGTTATCGCTAATCACTAGAGAATGCGTCACATTTTGTAGGTACGATCACATCGCAATGCGTCCTGTTTGACAGCGGTGGTGAAGGAGTGGTTCCGTTCCGCATAGTCCGAGCACGTTAATCTTGACAATTTGTCACTTGACAGAAATCCCTCTCCGGGAGAAAGGGGAGGGTGGATGTACTCGTGAGCATTTCGTTCACAAAGTTAAAGATTGAGAATAGATATGGCAATCTTCATGCGCCTATATTTTTTGTCGAACCCTGATGACGGCTTACGGTACATCGTGAGAGTCGCAATACAGGAATTTCAGGATACAACTGCGTTTCTCCAACACACCATTCAGGAATAAACCCCGCCACATTAATTTGCGATCGATCGGTTCAATGTTAGTTTTAAACCAGGACGGTTACCACGAGATTCTCCCTTTGTTTATGGTACTGTTCCTTCACAGACATATGCATTTGTGTCCATTACCTGGTTGCGAGGCCATCAGTGCGCTTTCACTAGTCCTACCCGTCCGAGCATCAGTGAGTCTCCTCGAACATTTTGAGTGTAGCCGTTGTGAGACTTCAAGCCTCAAGTATTTTGCCCCGATTCCCTTTGTCACTTTTTTAAGGACTTATTTGTATTCACGAATTATGGCCCAGCCACCGCCCTGTGTACATACGGTACTCGTGTTTCCCACAGTGACACCTTAATTATGTGCATGCTGCAGGATGGCTCCAAATAAGTCAGGGATCCAATTCACATGCCTCTCGTCTTTATTCCTTCGATCTGACACTGGCCGCAACTGTGAGTTATGCAGGCGTACGTCATCCACGATCCCTCTGTATCCCTAAGCTTCGTTTGGCTGTTCGCAGTCACAGCGACAGGTGAATCCGGAAACGGGTGCTATTAACCGTGGTTGTTAAGCTTGTGCTTCTTTCGTTGCTGTTTCCATTGGAATATCACCTTTTTTTCTCTGCCTTGATTTTCTCGACTTTCTTTGGGTATTTTTGATATTTTCTTTATTACAACTAGTGGGAAATTCATAGTTCCGTCCCAATTCTTCTTTTTCATAATTCGACACATAGGGCTGAATTCCCGAGCGCAGTACCGCCCCAGGTCAAAACGAATAGGTAAATTCTCATGACACTTTCGAAGGGAAACATCGCCGCTGTGGTTGGCATATCGATCATACCCGACATCATGTTAATAGGATGTATTTTCCGCTGATTCTGTCCACCCATGTACGATCCCTTCTAGACCTCCGCTCTTATGCAGCGTGAGGAACATAGAACGGCATGCGTCATAAAACTACAAAAAGCTTACTGCATTCTTACGTAGGAGATGAAGCTATTCTTTTCTATAATTATGGTCATAAAAGGCTCTACTTCCTTTCAGTGCCCCGAAATTGCCGGGAAGATGCCGTCGCCCATGTTAGCAAACGGTGGGTTGTTTCGGCAACCTAGGTATCGGTCTTAATATGCTTTTAGTATCCCATAAATTACTATCACCTTTACTAGTAGCTGCATTATCTTCTGTTGTCTATACTGCTTTCCTGTAACTTTTCCTGATATCCTTCAGAAGCGTTGCACCTCCATTATGCGGTCACGCGTCTATTGCCGTCATGGCCAGCTTTTATAGTGCCCTTCTAGGCGATTTTACTGTACGCTGACATCTCAGTGCGTGTGCCAGTATTATTTTCAGGACTTCAACTGATATCGATCCATAGACAGCCACCTAAGGGGATTGCGCCCTTGGGTTCACGGCTCACATTAGCCTCCATCTCATCAGCGCATATCACATCCTTTCGAAAGCAGTCTAAGATATATCATATCACTAATCTTAGCGCTATCCGGGTTGCGGCCAGTAGGTCAGGTCAGGTCAGTTTCCAAGGACAAAAATAGGCTCCCGCCTAACAGGTGTCCTGTTTCTTGTACCGGAAAGCACACCAGCGCCCTCAGTACTTCGACTTCTGAGTTTTCTTCCTTGCCACTGCAAAAGCAATGCAGCAACACAAGGGCAAGGCAAGACAACCTATGTGATCATGGACCTCGCGCTCTATTACAATTGTCAATGCATTTACAATAATTCTGGAAACGGATCCGGCCAATACTTATCCAGACCATTTTTGGAAGCCTGTTACAGTGGCACTTTTAATTAAGGCAGAAGGAAGTTTGTCCCAATTATGAACCACATGATTTGCAAGGAACTTGGCCCTAATCTCCATCCTGCACTTCTGATGCTTAATCTTAAATTCATGCCCCCGTAGGTGGTCGGATGCAGCAGGTTCAAACAACTCAGATGGCTTGATCCCGCTGAGGATCTTCATAACCTTGAAGGTTTCGATCAGGTCACCTTCTTCCCTGCGCCGCACCGTAGAGAACAATCTTAGGCCCCTTAGGCGTTCTTCGTATGATTTCCCGCGCTGGCCCTCGATCATCCTCGTCGCCAGTTTCTTTACCTTTTTATGCATGTCACATTCTTCCAGATACTATAAAACTTTTGAAAGACACACAGCAACACCTGTGTCTTATCCGCAGCGTTTCAGCCGTCCTCCATAATTAAGTTACTGACCCCCTCATAAGGAAGTCTTCCATTGAACATAACTACAGTATATCTTCGGATTTGTTTTCGCCTTCTGGACAAGCCTTAGTTCATAGCGGTATTTAGCATGTCTCTGCAGTTTCACTGCCTAGTTCCGGGATCTTTTGTAAACCCTTCGGTTTCCTGAAACTTTTTCCAAGAATCGCACTTCTTTATCAACCGATCAATTCACCGATGCCACCTTCGGGACTTACTAGGATGCTTACTGCGGCGCAATGGGGAAAATTCGTCCAGTAGTTGAACAAGTCCATCTTTGATTACGCTCCATCGCTGTTCTAAACTGGCTTGCGCTTGTTCAGGAACCCAGTATTTCTGTAGTCCCCTATCCCGTAATTGATTAGTGTTGATGCGGCCGAAGTTTCTCACCAGTCGGATTTAGCCGTTAATCTTTTGGTATTCAGTGAGAATGCAGTGGTCACTGTTACCAATGGGTGCAGCTGCATGAATCTCTGACAAGTGACTATGCTTTGTTATTACCTCTTAGGTTGAAGGCGAGCAGCCAATGCGTTTACGCATCGGGAAGTTGACATGCTGGGCAAAGGCATTCACGTGCACCCATTCCACCAGTACTCCTTCCAAGGTAACTACAGTGCTAGCGGCATGTTCCCAGTCTGCATGCGGAAGGTTCAAGCCACCGATAATCAGAAAGTTGGAAGCAGCTGCTGCTGCGCGTTTTAGTAAGCTACTAAGCTCCTTGTCCTCCACTCGCGTAGAGGCGAGGCTACGGTATACACAGACACTTATCTACAACCGACCCTCCAATCTCAGGAAGCAAAAGACAACTTGTTTATTCGATGCCTTCATGGAGAAGGGAGCCTCCCAATTCCCACGGTGGCTCTTGATAAGCGAAAATCTGCCTCCACCACCTGATTTCCATGTCTATCCAATCTATGCGCAGAGATACCAGTTAGTAAGTCACGGACGGGATAACTTTCACAAAGCCAGATCTCGATGACCGCAATTACGTCAGCAAGCCTACAGCTTACTGTCAACTCTTCCCATTTAGCAGGGTAAGCGCAAACGGCAAAAGGCACGTTGTCTACATTCACCACTTATTAGCGCCAACTTAGCATAGAATTTGAATTGCATGTGTAGCTTTTCACCGACATCTATTAGAACACAATTTTCTGCTCACGTCTGCTCAGTGTGACTTCTGTACTGTGAAATGTTGTTAGCCATTGATTCATCACCAGATCGCATCGTGTGTCGCAACGATACTGCCTTTTGCGTGGGTTTTAAGCAAACCGCCGGTGCCCGTTACCTCCAAAACGATACATGTCAGGGCGATGGTCGCTTACTGATTAATCCAAGCAACGCCGCTGCATACACATGGTGGGTGGCATCCGGTTTTTGACTTGTCTGTCAATGCGGCCTCCAGAGGACAGTCACAGGACGCCTGTGTCTACAGAGGGATCATGGATGGCTTGCGCCGCACCACCCACAGCTCCATCCACACACCGCGTATTCAGTGTAAACCCGAAAGAAAAAGTCCGGAAGGCATGTGGATGGGAGCCACGTTTCATCAACGGAACCGGCACATACTCTATCAACATGCACATTAGCAGCAGCATTCCAATGTTTAACTGGGAAATCATGCGTACCAGACGTACACAAAGCGTAGTCCGCTCCACACTGGATGGAACCACTTTTTAAGCCTAGCACCGCCATGAGAAACATGCACCCCGTCTCCCCAAGCGACTGCCATTCGTCTTCTGCAAACAATATAATCGAGGTAACGGATTTTCGTCTGGTAGGCACATTCACAACAAGCGCAGATGCACCGGGCTTATCAAACAACGAACACGGAATATAAAAGGAACTAAACACGCAGTAGTGACGGTACATGTATTGCAAAATGACAGAACACGGCATTCAAAAAATGTATATTACTTCTGATCTGGTTTAAGGGCGATCTTTGGAAACTTTATGTATGAAGTGGTTTTCTCTCGCCTGATTTGTCGGTTGGCT